GTTAATCTGTTCAGAAATAAACTTTGGGTCTCTAAATAGAGGCTGCTCAAAGAGCTATCCACCACAGACAGAACCTTAGGTTTGCATAACCTTCCAACAGTTCCAACAGTCAAGATTTTCATGTTTTTAACAAAATCTCGCCACATTTAAATAACATTTAAGCAAAATCGACCTAACCTGCTCTGTACTGAAACAAAATCACTGCATAGCCTAAAAATGATTTAGTGCAGCTAATGGACATTTTGCATCATCCCTCACACCTAAGATCTATTGCAAGAAAGAGGCCTGTAGCAAAACAGATAAAGCCCAGAAGCCCCATGAATCAAATCGGACTTGTCTGGGTGTATTAGGAGGTGCTGCAGAAAGCCATTAGTAATAAAAAGACCCAGCAGCAGAGCCTTAAAGCATAAGATCTGCACTTACATGCTGGAGATGAGGAGCCATCTTCTGTAATGCTTCTGTATTTGTGTGCAAAAGTGAACTGTAACTATAAATTTGGCTCAAGCAAGCAGGGACAGAATCCCTTCAAGCCTCTGGTGATCAACGTAATCAATACACAACAGTAAAGAACTTAAACTGTGTGCTCGGTCTGAGCTCTGTGGTCCTCAAATCCAAAGGTGCACCAAAAACTCACGCTTCAGTAGAGTAATCTTTATTTTTCTCGTCAACCAACCACAGCACTGCAGGTAGAGCGTAGCTGACTTTGTTCGAAAAGGGCTTTGGAGTTTTTTTTTCCCGTAGCCGTTATTGGGATTCAGAGCACCTCCAAAGCCCTGCAAGCAGATTAGAGATGCTGAACAGAATCTTAACAATCCTGAGAGGAATTCTGAGTGCAACGCACTGAGGTGTAGCCGCATACAAAAATCAATTTTTGCACATTTTCCATTGGCTAAACACTGCTCTGTAGTCAACATATTCATTATTCAAATTACAGTCTTTGTAGCTTAGTTTAAACAAGATAATAACCTTCCAGCACTCTTTAAATGAAGGTTAAAGACGTAACTTAAAAAATAATCTTTTAATTATGAGGGCTAGGGTGCACTTTCTGATGCAATGTCTGAGTTATTGTATAACTGGCTGGAGAAAAACTTAAATCCATTGTTTTAAAAATGTGTTGATGGACTTGTAAATTAGCCAGATTGATTAAACTTCTGTTCGTGTCTTTTCCATCATGTCTGATTTTTAAATGAAATATGTAAAAAATCAAAGTTTGGGGTATTTTTTTTTCAATATGAGTGGTAAAGGTCAACTTTACTTATATTTTTAATGCATTTGCCATGGTCTCTAGTAGGAATAAATGCCTTGCAAGTTGTAGTCTCGGAAAAAAAGCTCTGCTGTGCCTGTTAAGAGAGTGGCAATAGAAGAAGACGAAGGCATTTGTTTGTTTAGCATCTAGAAGACAGCAGAGCATGTCTCGGCTAGTAGTAGCTAACCTTTAGCATTAGCATCTCCATAACACTGCACATCCCCTTCCGGCTTGTGTTATTTGTGGAGATAAAACATTGACTTTGCAGAGTAAACAGTCAGTGGTGTTGCATTCTGCTAGTTCCTGACACAAGCACATCTGAGCCTCCTTTAAATAGTGCATCTCTAAATAAGCAGACATTTTAATGCTGAAAATATTACCAATTGCACTGCAAACAATGCTCTTTTTTGTATAATCAAGTGAGAGCAATGTAAAAATATAAAAAGAACATTTAAATAAATTCATGCCAGATTTTTGAAATCGGACTTCTTTTTAAAACAACAGCGATCCACTTTGGTTTTGGCTCTGCCCAGACTAGCGGTTAGCTCATCAATCTGATCTGAACCAAACTATTTAGGCAAACTAAGGTTATGTGGCTAAAAAAACTTGTTTCAATTCAATTCAATTCAAAGATACTTTATTAATCCCAGAGGGAAATTAGAGTTGCATTACACACAATTCTGAGATCAGACATACATACATAGGCATAGACACATGACAAGAATTGGTGACTGTGGTCATTCGCAACCCGAGTCGAGCTACCTTAATAGAGATCAGAGGGTTTATATGAGGATAGGGTCAGGTGGAGGAAAACAAGGCACTTCAGAGTTACACTCCACAGGGAGGGCAGCTTTGCTATGCAAAAAACACCTCAGACAGAAATGCAACAGACTTCAGACATCACACAACATAAGTGTCCACTAGGTGGGGTGGTAGGGTTGGGGACTCTCCTCACATCAGTGAATGCAGCCATGATAAGCAGCGCTCGTCACCTCCGTTTGGACAGGGGGAGGAGGTCGTTAGGTTTTAGGGAGCACAGTGACTCCTGGAAAGATTCAATGGCCTTCACCGGTCGCAGTTCCGGCCAGGCTGGGATAGGGAGACAGAGTTGCCATGGCGACGGCAGCATTCCACATTTCTTCTGAGGGGGAGTATTCACTTCAACCTCACAAGCTCAAGGGCACCAAATTCAGATAAGAAATTGTTTTGGGGCCAGACAGAGAGAATTTCCTCTCTGTCTTTGCCTCTCTGTCTTAATGTTTCATGGGTCCTCAACCCCACTTAATCCAATAATGGTGTAAATTAACCTATCCCAATCTGTGCTGATTCGTCAACTCGCTCCTTGATCACATCCATCTTTTGTGCCAATGCATGAATCTCAGCCAAAGTTCCAAGCTTACGATTCATCTCGACAATTATATGAGTTTGTGCGTTCACAGCGGAGTGTAATCCATCCCTGAGCTCCGGGAGTGAGCCAATATTCCTCGACAGCTCGTTAATTTTCCGGTTAGCCAGATAACCGCTCAGGCCAAAAAGCAGGAAACCTGACACCAACATCATGAATATCCAGACATCTTCAGAATTCTCTACAGACAGCTGAGATAAGAAGATCAGGTTCCACTGTTTCCAGGAGTCCATGATATGCCCAACTGGATCTGTCCCAGAGGGGCCCCCGAGAGCCCCTTCTCCCTTTGTCATCGTTGGAAAAATGTTGTCAATCGCATTGAGAGACCAACTGACCAGGTCCATTTAAAATAATTTCCAGTTTCCAGAAAAAATGCAGAAGCTCCGTACACCCAAAGACAGACCAAGAGCCTTGGGGATAAGATGGGGAGGAGAGGAGGAAAAAAGCGTCTGTACTCTCCAAGAGCCGGAAGAAGAAATACTAGAAGCCACTGCAAATATACTGAAAAAGAGTGAACTTGCTCTTTAACTTGTTAGCATGTTAAGTAATAATAACTAAACATTGGAAAATATTTTATCCAGCATTAAGAGTTTTAATTATTTTAATTTAGAAAATCAGTTGCTTGTTGGCTCTGAACTCACAGACGATCCTGGGTCCCAGCAGTGCTGAGATCTTCAATACTATTGGTTGGGATTAACATCATCCCACTATGTAACCTATGAGATAATATGATGATGATTTGAAAAGAGACAAGAAATACTGGTGAGTTCTAGACATGACATATTACTGTACAGTAATAGCCTGCAGGAGCACAGATCCCAGGCATTTCTGTTGCAGGATAAGAAACGTACACACTGAAAGGACATCCTCCAGTTCTAAATATACCCATTATGATGCAGCTCGGTGTCTGGAGGTATGAATCATCATAGATCTTTAGTGCCGCCTGGAAAGCTATATTTGCTTGTGGTAAAGTTGTATTGGTTGTGTGTTCTGGCTGCAGATCACAGGGTGTGATGAGAAGTGTAAATTTCACAGGGACAAGTGAGGAGATTCTCAACTGAAGTTGTGAGCAACAAAAAGTTGTTTTGCACAATGGCTGCTCTGCAGGGGCGCCTCCAGAAAAGTTTGATAAGGGTGGCCAGACAGGACCAAAGATAATTTTGGGGTAGTACACCAAATTGGTCCCTATGGTAACTCTGGGAGAGTGTAGCCTGTGGCGATGCATAGCATTGCTCCTTTATTCTTTTATATTAAAAAACAATGTATCCAAAACATTTAACTACATATTTGAGGAACACAAACATTTCAGAAAAATAAATTGAAAGAGCAAGCCACCCCCTACCAGAGTCTTACTCCACTCCCACTTCCTGTTTGAAAAATGCAACAAATGATGTTGCCTAGCAGACCGAGAGGGCGGAGCCGCTAACAAATATACACACACACAGGCTCACAACAACATTGTGACATCATATGGTACCAGCTAATGTTCTAGGGTTCTTAGCCAATAGCGATGGCAGATTCAAATGCAGTGCAGAGTTTTTACCTGACAACGGCACAACACTGGCAGTTTTAGGCAAAAAAATAAAAATTTTAACTAAAATAAACTAAAATGCAAAACTGTTGACCGCACGTGTCTGCAGCACGATTAGACACGCATTTATATAGTTTATCAGAAATAAAAGTTGATTTGGGTGACTTGCTCTTTAAGTTATTTGAAATGTATTTTTTGTTTAATTTGCCTGTTGCTGTCGTCACGGAAAACTATAGAGATATAAACTTTTTTTAATAGTGAGCAGCAGATACATATTTATATTTTAATTCAGATGATTTCTTTACTCATTAATTGTATCATTTTTATTGTGTTTTACATTCATGTCTTGAATAGATAAGATTAATTTATGGTTTGAGTGAACATTGAAAACAATGCCCAAACAATCACATATTTATGACCTGCAAGAACCATTGACTTGGTTAAAGTTTGGACACCCCTGCCTTAAAAGGAATTCATGGATGTTTACATTTAAGCCCGTAAGAAATTTGACACCTTTTGGATCCCATAGATTTAGAAAACATTAAACTCTGATAGAAAAATGTCCCACAGGCAACGTTTTGTCCATTAGGCCTGCGAGATTACGTAAGTTTTCTTACGGATCTCACTCTAACTGCTGGAGGAACACAACTTTAAGACAATTGTGTGCAAATATAAAGCGCTAATTGATCTCAGCGTAGGCTTTTCCCCTCAACTTTCGCAGAGACTCCGTGTTCCTGTGCGCGATTCGGTCAAAGTCTGCAAAAGCCACGCACAGAGCCACGCTGATGTTTGGAGAATCATTATTCCAGCAGACTTACCGAATTTTCTGTCGGCGAGAGCAGGTGAGGCGCAAAGGCTGGCGGCCAAAGCAGCGAAGAAGACGGGACACCATGGTGAATCCATACCGCTGCTGAATAAATCACTAATCCTCACCAAAGACTTGCGCTAAAACGGGCATGTTGGATGTTAGGGGAGCATGATGCTGCTGGAGGAAGCGAAACTGACAGGAAGAGGCAGGATTCAGGAGACAGGCGTTGTTTCAGCACCACAAACAGCTCCCAGCTTGACGGAGGAGCCCCTCCTTTTCTGACGTCAAACACACACACACATGGTGAGGAGGGTGATGCATAGAGCAAGCAACACACGGATGAGGACAGACGTAGCTGAATGATTACAGCCTAGGAAGCAAAGATATGACTCAAAAACTGTGAAACCCCAGAGAAACTGCACATTAACACGTGGTTAAACAGTTCAAAACCCTATTAGACAGTGGTGTTACTAGGGGGGGGGGGGGGGGGCACCTGGGGACCGGTTCCCACCCAATTGAGTCTGCCCCCCCAAATAACAATGATTTAATGAATACAAACTTAAGACAGAAAATTGAGAGCTTAAAGGAAAAGCAATGTTAATTTATTGATGTGTTTAAGTTTCCATCAAAACTCACAAAACATGAAACTTTTCAGTTTAAATCACACTTAATTGGAACATCATGGTCTTGTCTTATGGTCTTCCACCCTCTTTCCACCAGTTGCATGTTTTTGTCCAGTAGTGCGAGTACGTAGGGTGTCCAGATTCGAGCGAGAGGACCTTGGCCCCGCCTCTTTTACACCATTGATCTGCACTTTGCTGAAGTCTGCATTGGTCTGGATTTTACACACAGTTGCTGCGTGGGAATTTTGAGAAGGCATAGAAATGGCTGAAATACCCTTTCTAAAAAAAATAAATGCATTTTAAGTGTAAGTACTGAAATATTACTTTATTATTGTGTACTTCATATAATCACAATCAAATGTTTCTCTTCATTACATATTTGTTGAAAAACTAACTGATAACAGTACCAGTGTGTTTTCAGACATGGCCACAATTAATGACTTGTTTTAAAATCAATCTGTATGCAAATAAAGACTGAAAGCCATGTAGGTATTCTTGTCACAGGCCAGCTACAGAATTACCTGGCTAATTTTGTTGCAGAATTTAGTTGCCCTCACCCTCAAAGCTATCTCACGTGTTCCAGATGTGAAAAGTTTTGACCACGGTGATCATTATGGGCCGAATCATAAAAATGTCTGTACTTACAAACCTCCGCCACTACGAGCGATTGCCAGTCTGCCATGTTTGTCCACGCAGGATCGTCCATGTGGTTAAAACATTTCCTAGGTGCGCTGTGCGGAAACTTTGGGCCGTGCAGACCTCGCAGACGCGTCCAGCATAAACTAACCTTTAGCGTTTTTAACTTAATCTAACAACTGAAATGTCTCCCCAGTCTTTATTAGGGTTGTCACGATACTAAAATTTCAAACTCGATTCGATACTTGAAAAAAAAACTCGATTTCGATACTATTTCAAAACACCAATTTATTGAACAAGTTTATTCAAAAAATAACAATCCTCAATTTATATTGCAAAAATTTAATGTTAAGAATTAAGTGTATAAAGTGCTTAAACCTTTCAAGTATCAGCATTTTTTAAAACGTGCATACAAAAACTGGTGAAAGTTAACACTTTAAATCATGAATTGTCTCACTATATATACATTATTTGCAGAGTGATGTTTTGCTGCTTAAACTCTGTTTAAGGTGCATTTTTGCCATAAGATGTAATGCCATATGTTTTGTTCTGTACTTTTGAACAACTCTGTTGGTCAATAAAGGGAGAAACGAATTTCTCCACAGTAGGACAAAGGTACATCTACCGGTAATCTTAATAAAAACAGACTGGCGCACGGCAGTGACGTCATTAAAAGCGCTGGTTAGATTAGCCGCAGCTAGTCGGTTTACGCCTAGAAATCCCAGACTCGCTCCAAACGAACAGGGGAATCATGTTAATATGAACCTTTCGATATGAAGATGTTTTGGTGCAGATAATGTCTTATTTCGAGGCTGCACCATGGGTGCCCGTCCGCACCCGTTATATGGATATACACTGATGGTGATTCGCCGATGGATCTAAATACCCCGGGGAATCCAAGTAGCACCAAAGTTGTCAGCGTGAGTAAACAAACGTACTGCATGCTAGAAATTAAGTCCGGGTTGCAATAAACGGGAGTTTCCTTTAAGCACATAAGCGTGAATATACAACTACGTGTCGGACTTGGTATGCTAATTAAGTTGGGCTGTGAAGCGCCTCCCAAATTCGCTGTTTATGTTTTTGTTTATTTATTTGGCAGACAAAACTTGGATCGGAGGCAACTCGCGTGGGAAATTGCAATGTAGCCATGCGGCGTCTTCTTCTTCTGTCTGGGAGGCGGAGGCTGCTTTACTGCATCTGGCTGTCGTGCGTGTCGGTGTACTTGAAGAAGGCTGTGTATAATAGTCCATAATATCGATACCACAGGGATGGAATATCTAATTTAGATACCACTTTTAGTTTCGATTTATATCTAGGTATCAATTTTTTTGACAACACTAGTCTTTATTAGCGTCTACAAGAGTGATTCCTCACTAAATGAAACAAATCAGCTGTGTTCATGTCCCAACAGACCATACCGGCACTCTGAAGTTGCAAATGCCTTACTCCGCCCACAGAGGGTGGTGGGGTCTGAGCGATATTAATTCCTGTAAAGGAACATTTGAACCCATATTGGCTCAAGAAAATCATTTAAAAACATGAAAGTTACATTGTATCCCTTTAAAAAAAATTTCTATATCAGAAGGCAACTGTTTGACCACCATATTGCAGAATGGTGACAGCTGTTAAACTGCACTTATTTTACTATCTAGTTAGAATTTTGTAAGGTCTTTATTTTGTTTATTGCCAATTTTTACTCTATTTCTTCTTTGCTTGTTTTCATTGCAGTACAGTGCCCCTGTGTTACTTGAAAGGCGCTTATAAATAAAATGTATTAACACATAAAAAATACTTTAAAAGCATAATAAAACCCTTCATATAATGCAATGGATTTTAGTTTTGATGTGCCAGTAGTGTCTTTTATTTTTCCAGTTTTACCCCATTCTGGCATGTTTTTTGTTACTCAGTGGGCAAATAGAAGCATGCATTATGTTTAACGGGATCTAGTTTTTTTTTTTTCAAAAGTCTTACAACACTTGAAGTATTTTGCTACCAAGGATCCAAGGTTTCTAGCACAATTCTCATTGCATTTATAGCAGGATCTAGACAAAAAGATGGGGACTGTTGACAGGATTTGAGTTTGTATTTCCCCTCGAAACTTTTCAAAGCATGGCCAACTCATTCTGAGTTGAGAGATCAACTTATTTAGTCATGTCAAAAAGCTCATCTTGGGTCAGAAATACAATTTAGCTGCTGGTTGCTGCATCAGATGTCAAAATTCAATAGATCATGTGACTGGACATGTTATAAATGGGTGTTCTTTAAAACAAAGCAAATATTTTAAATTTTCTAGATTATTTCCTAGAAGAGTGAGAAAAACAACATGATCCATAGTTCCTGCTGCCTTATAAATAATGTTTTCCTGAAACCTTTGATTTAATGTCACGGTTTATAAATTGAAGTCAGAAGCGGTTCCCCTGAAGGAATGAGAAGCGGATGATAGATTGCTTGTTTGCGCCATCATTACTCTACAAACTGCTGCACATGCAAGAGGCGAGAATAAACACCCAGCTTAAGCTGATTTATTGTTTTTTTCATTGTAATTAGTAACAAAACACAGATTAAAGCGGACAAACCCATCAGGTATTTAAAAACAGATACTGACGTATATAAATTTATACATTTGACACATTTGTTTAAAAATAAAAATAAAAGAACTGTGAAGCAAAGAAACTTGGAAATTTCTATTTTTTCAACTAATTCTGTATTTGTTTACATAATGTGGAACTCATGCGTGTCTGCAAACACAGCAGCCATTTGTTTTTTATTTTTAGTAGAGGAAGTCAGAGCTCCAGAATCTCATTTAAAGTAGTCACTGAAGAAGCATGAATAACCCTGCAGGAGAAAAGAATGATGGATGATTGATTTATGAACATCTGTCCTGAAACATCAGATTCTCTGGATCTCACCTCTGGATGTCGCTGCCGTCCACAGATGAAACGGCGTGACTGTGAATCTGCTGCTGGACGGACACGGCGGCCCTTTTCAAGTCCCCTTTGCTCCGACCCGCTGATAAACAAAAGTTGTCAATTATTTTAAAAACAGAAGACAAACGCCGAGGCCGTGAATGAAAGCTTACAGTGTCTGACGACAGCCAGGACGTGTAGAACGGCCGCCAGCTCAGTCAGGCTGCTGATGACCTCGGAGTCTAGAGATGAGCTGACTTCTGACAAAAACGCCCTGAGAGAAACGTTCGTCATCAGAGATCTTTTATGTCAGTAACCAGTCAGTGCTGGTTCGGTAAGCGTGGTGAAGAGTGTTTGAGGGTGTACCCGGTGACAGAGGGGGATCTGAGGACGACAGACAGGAGGATGCTGGACAACGGGGGCATATCGTTCACAGACTGTGGGACGATCACCTCCTCAGGATGGGTAATCTTTACAAAATAAACAAAAACAGCCACCGACGATGAGAATTTATTTATAAATGTCATTTAAAATAAATATCTAGTCAAACTCGAACAGAAAACCACTGACTAGGGCAGATTTGGTCTATTTATGTTAATTTGTCACTCTGACGCAACCGATGTAGATCACTGGTGTAAGAAAATGTGAAAAACCAACGCCGCTCTATCTCCAGCCATGATATTATTGTGTTTAGTGGCTCCTATCCTCCGACCTTCTGGAGTAAGTGCCTCTTCTCCACAACGATGGCTGCAAAAACAGTAGAGAAGACCCCGCTGAGAGGAGCTTTCCCCCACGTCTGCGCCACCTGGAGGAAGTCAGTCAGACCAGGAACAGCTGACTGGCAGAGCTGAATGAGACGAGACAGAAACCAGTTATGACTAGTATTACCTCAAACAGGTCATTACTAATAAATGGTGCCCTGCCTGTTTTCCTTCTTCTGGTTCCTTCTTGAGGCGGCGTGCCAACAACTCTATAATCTTTTGGAAGATGTTGGCCACCACGCCCAGAAGGACAGCGCTGGTATCCTCCGGATTCTCCTGATCCTGGTTGATGTCGATAGGCACACAGCTGTTCACCACCTCCTTTAAAATGGGCAGCACTGCAGGGATGCACATGTAGCCCAGCTCTAAAAACACACGAGGAGTCAGAATGAAGCTTTACAGGATGATGTGCAGGCGCAAATATGTGTTCAAGGTGCTCACCTGAGAGGAGGGTTAGCGAGCACAGGTGGAGGATCTGACCCTTAAACGTGTCGTCAGCCAAACCCACGAGGAGAATGTCGCGGCACACTGAGAGAAAGCTCTGATGACAAATGTAAACAAGAAGAAATGGCCCCTTTCTGCATGAACAGGAGGCGTGTGTGTGTGTGTGTGTGTGTGTGTGTGTGTGTCAGCAGAAAAATCAATGAGGAGTCTAAATTTACTCAGCAGAATAAAAAAGAATCCCAAACACTGAGGATAACATGATAACAGCGTGTTTCATCTTAATCCAGGCTCTGAGCTGGATGAAGATCTAAGGTGGAGCGATGATTTAATCAGCATGCTGAGAAACTTCCAGCAACACCACTGATCCCAGCACCTTCACACACCATCCAGTCTGACGATCCTCCATGATTAAAGACGAGCAGCTGTGTTGGACATTGGGATTCTTTAAAAGCATCTCCATCGTGTACGTGACAGAAGGACTTCTCTGCTCTAGTGCAGGGTATCTGCAGGTTTAAGGGAGCCAAACTTAAGACTTTTTAAGACCTTTTTTTAAGGCCACTTTGACCAAATTTAAGCAATTTTTTCAAATTAAATTTAAGCTATAATTTCCAGCTGTTGCCTGGAACCGGTGCTAACCATGTCGCGAGCGTGGGATTAGCCATCCAGTTACCATTAAACGTTCACCTCCCCATGACGCAAGCTCCCACTAGCTTAACCAGCTAATGCGCTCATCTAAAAATAACTAGGGATGCACCGATGGATCGGCATTTGATCCCAATCGGCCGATAGCGCCCCTATCGGTTTTGATCGGAGTTTTCAAAATAGATCAAAGCAGACCGATCAGGTAGGGTTGTCACGGTAACCGGTGTAGTGGTAAACCCCGGTAAAAAAAAGTTGACAATAATAATAACCGTCTTGTTTTTAAAAAAACTTTTATCTCGGTGGATTACCGTGGCTGCGGTGTAGGCGCGGTGACCCTTACCAGCCACCGTATCATCTGCTGAAGTTGCCGGTGGTTCATACGCACTTTGTTGTTTACAACCAAAACGTTCTTGAAGCTAAAGCTGAAATAATGGCCAAAGGAGGAGACGGCAGTGCTCAGGACATTTTTTATCCCTCAAAGAAGACAAAGTTGGAAGTACGGGCATCTTTTGGATACTTGAAGAATGCCGAGGGACAGTTGATAGAAGACGGCTATCCTGTTTGCAGCACGTGCAGAAAAAGTGTCTGTGAAAGGCAGCAACGCTTCAAATCTCATGACACATCTGCGTGACCATCACCCACAACTCTACAGTCAACTTAAGGCAAGCTAGCGTTAGCGTTTTAGCTAAAATGCGTGATCCGAGGATTTGGGTTGAGGGAGAATGCAACGAGTCGCTATATAAAATGGCCGCAGCACCGCTACCTGCATATACAGGTGCTGGCCAGTAAATTAGAATATCATCAAAAGGTTGAAAATATTTCAGTAATTCCATTCAAAACGTGAAACTTGTACATTATATTCATGCAATGCACACAGACCAATGTATTTCCAATGTTCATTACATTTAAATTTGATATTCATAAGTGACAACTAATGAAAACTCCAAATTTGGTATCTCAAAAAATTAGAATATTCTGAAAAGGCTGAATATAGAAGACACCTGCTGCCACTCTAATCAGCTGATTTACTCAAAACACCTGCAAAGGCCTTTAAAAGGTCCCTCAGTCTTGTTTTGAAGGCACCACAATCATGGGGAAGACTTCTGACTTAACAGCTGTCCAAAAGACAATCATTGACACCTTGCACAAGGAGGGCAAGACACAAAAGGTGATTGCTAAAGAAGCTGGCTGTTCGCAGAGCTCTGTGTCCAAGCACATTAACAGACAGGCGAAGGGACGGAAAAAATGTGGTAGAAAAAAGTGTACAAGCTCTAGGGATAACCGCACCCTGCAGAGAATTGTGACGACAAACCCATTCAAAAATGTGGGGGAGATCCACAAAGAGTGGACTGCAGCTGGAGTCAGCGCTTCAAGAACCACCACGAGGAGACTCATGAAAGACATGGGATTCAGGTGTCGCATTCCGTGTGTCAAGCCACTCTTGAACAAGAAACAGCGCAAGAAGCGTCTCGCCTGGGCCAAGGACAAAAAGGACTGGACTGATGCTGAGTGGTCCAAAGTTATGTTTTCTGATGAAAGCAAGTTCTGCATTTCCTTTGGAAATCAAGGACCCAGAGTCTGGAGGAAGAGCGGAGAAGCACAGAATCCACGTTGCATGAGGTCCAGTGTAAAGTTTCCACCGTCAGTGATGGTGTGGGGTGCCATGTCATCTGCCGGTGTTGGCCCACTCTGTTTCCTGAGGTCCAGGGTCAATGCAGCCGTCTACCAGGAAGTTTTAGAGCACTTCATGCTTCCTGCTGCTGACCAACTTTATGGGGATGCAGACTTCACCTTTCAACAGGACTTGGCACCTGCACACAGTGCCAAAACCACCAGCACCTGGTTCAAGGACCATGGTATCCCTGTCCTTGATTGGCCAGCAAACTCGCCTGACCTTAACCCCATAGAAAATCTATGGGGTATTGTGAAGCGGAGGATGCAATACGCTAGACCCAACAATGCAGAGGAGCTGAAGACGACTATCAGAGCAACCTGGGCTCTCATAACACCTGAGCAGTGCCACAGACTGATCGAGTCCATGCCACGCCGCATTACTGCAGTTATTGAGGCAAAAGGAGCCCCGACTAAGTATTGAGTGCTATACATGCACATTATTTTCATGTTCATTCTTTTCAGTTGGCCAACATTAGAGAAACAAACATTTTTTCATTGGCCTTTAGAATATTCTAATTTTCTGAGATACCAGATTTGATGTTTTCATTGGTTGTCACCTATAAATATCAAAATTAAACGTAATAAACATCGGAAATACATTGGTCTGTGTGCATTGCATGAATATAATGTACAAGTTTCACGTTTTGAATGGAATTACTGAAATATTTTCAACCTTTTGATGATATTCTAATTTACTGGCCAGCACCTGTAAACCATGTCGCGGACACCGCCATGTTGAAATGACGCTATGCATTACGGGGCTCCCAGGGGCAGATAAGAGTTGGTCTCTCTCTGAGAATAATTATGAATTTAACAATGATTACTGCCTGATGACATTTTCCCAAATCTGCAAAGCTCACTGGAAGGACACAAACCGAGGACAATATTTTCCTGATATAGGGTTTATTACTCAAGTAAGGGTAAAAAAGTATCTGATTAGAAGGCTACTTGAGTACTGAGTATCATCTGATCTAATATTTTAAATGATGACATCAAACAGACATAAAATAAGAAGTTATGGGCAAATATTGGTATTTAAAGACTAAAGGGAAAAAATGTAAACAAATAAACAACATAATTACAAAATAACACATTTTAGGCAAAATTTAGACACAAACTGAGGACAATATTTCCTGACATACAGGGTTTATTTAATTGTGTGAAAATGTAGCACGTTTAAAAAAAAACACAGCGATAATACCGAAAACCGTGGTAATTTTGGTCACAATAATTGTGAGGTTAAATTTTCACACCGTGACAACCCTAATACAGACCATTTTAGATTAGGTTACATTTCCTTTATTCCCAGATTATGTAGTTTGTAGCACTCGTTATAATGTTGTAGAAAATTTATGACCAATCCACGTGATCGGTATCTGTGATCAGCATTCTTTGATATCGGTATCGGTGATCGGCAGCAAAAAACCTGATCGGTGCATCCCTAAGAATAACCCCTTTCCACAACCAACTGAATGAGTACGGTTGCGCTTATGCCAACATCACACACACAAAAAATGCTGAATACTAACTAGAAATTCATGAAAATTTTATAGAAATAAAATAATCTTGTTTACTGGGTCTTTGGTAATTTAAGACCTTTGAAAATTATTTAAGGATTATTTGTCATTTTTAAGGATTTTAAGGCCTTAAATTTGGAAAAGCTAATTTAAAACTTTTCAAGACTTTTTAAGGACCCGCGGACACCCTGTAGTGCCATCTCCTAATTAAACCTGGATCTCTGCAGCTGTGAGCACCTTTAGAGCTTACCTCAGTTATTCGTGCTGCTAGCTGCTGAGACTTCTCTGTGTCATTCTCGTTTAAATGCTTGAGGAAGGGCAGCACCCGGTCTGCCACCCAGCCTGCCACGCCCTCCAGAGAGAGCAGGTAGTCTCGACCTTCTGTCAGCTGGTAAAGAGAAAATGCTTCAGTTTTATTTCTGACTCCAATTTAAAAGAGGGCAGCTTGCCAGAAGAAGACAAATGTGAAAAGCACGAGGAAGAAGGTTTTCTGCAGCTTTCTCTGCAGTTTTGCTCTGATTTGACGACTTCATTAGAAAAGATGAGCATAGAGGGTTACGTTGTGCTGCAGGTGTGCGCTGAGCCGAACGTGGAACGTGAAGGCGTTTAGCGCCGTCTCAACTCCGGGGAGTTCAGGATCTTCTGTGGTGGAGCCGAGGTGTGTGTACAGCACCGACTGTCAACACACACAGAAAACACCCCGTTAGTAAACCACGTAGACTGAGAAACACACACAGCCATCAGTTGTTGCACCTTCCATTTCCCCAGAATGGTGTGGAGCTGCTTCAGAGGCCCCTGGCAGAGAGCCAGGACCTTCTCCTGCGCGGAGGTGTGGCTGAACAGGTACTCCAGGTACACCAGAGCCAGGTCCGGCTTGGCCTCCACGGTCTCCAGAATCTGCACCCGTCTGCCTTTAGCAGCTTTCTTCTAAAATAATTTTTAAAAAGACTTTAAAACTAATCAAGTTTAAATCCTGATGATCCGAGAATCAACGTTAACTGACTCCTTGTTTGGGAAGAGCCTCGCTCAGCCAATCAGTGACCAGCTCCAGGACGTCAGCAGTCTGACCCCAGCTACAGATGCAGTCCAGCAGGTGGCAGTACTGAGCCAGAGCAGCTCTAGGGTCCATCCGCCTCAGTCTGGATAAAACTCCACAGCTGGGACGAGCCCAGAAGAAGAGGTTCAGTGGGTTTGATCTGCTGACACGAAAACAACAAAGAGACCACGCGAGACTCACCTGAAGGTTGGAACAGCAGCCGGAGGCATTAGTGAGGCCATTTGTAAAAGAGGAGCGGTAGATCGTTCATCCTGAAAGAAGCATCTTTTAGTTCTGGTTTGATTTAAAGAGATAGAAAATCTAATTCAGAGCAGCTAACGCACCTTAAAAACCTGGAAGTACTTGGCCATGACGCTGCCAAACTTTGCTGTCGTGTACTTGTGAGCCTCTTCATTTTGTTTGAGCGCCTTCTCCACGCTCCTCCATAGAATGACCACCATCTCCAGCAAGCTGGACACGACGGTGGGGTCGTGCCCCGGGGGAGGGGCTTCAACCTGAATGACCCCACGTATACGGCTGCTCGGTTATGGCACAAATGACGATCAGGGCTATGTTGTTTGAGATCTCGATCATTTTTGTCTTTCTTACCGTGTTGTTCTCCTTGTTGCTGTGATTGATGTCCGTCAGGTCTCCGCCCACCTGGATGTAGCCGTTTAGCAAGCGGCGAATGGCCAACATCAGTTTTACTGAAAGAGACACGACGGTCACTAAATGTCAGTCGAACCTGAAACGTATTCCCGTTTATATCCGATCGCAGCGTGCATACTTATATTCGTGGGGGCCGTGTGTTTGTGAGCCAACTGGTAGAACTTCCTGGCAGCCATGGCGTTCATCTGGATGAGGGTGACGCACCGGCAGCACCACTCCTTCTCCGACTCGTTGACGGGGAAGAAAGAGTTGAAGAGCAGCTCCACGATGCGTTTGGAGACCGAAGGCGAGTCGATCGCCAGCCGGGCCAGCAGGTGGTCCATGTTACACACGTCCCAGAACTGGAAATACGTACAAAGCGGGAATTTAGTTGAATTCCACTTACACTGGTCACAAAAAAAAACATTATCTGATTGAGTTTAAATCATTTGTTTGGTTCTTTAAGCGTTCTGGATCTGTTACCTTGGCAGCACGAGCTGCTTTCACCTTGATGAGCATGTCGAGGAAAGCTGAGCGGACCTTCTCCGAGTTGTCGTGGAGGCTGTACTTCAGGTTGGGAAGGAGCTTCTCCAGGAGCGCGTGGCTCAGAGGGTTGTCCAGGACGAGAGTCAGACACTGGAGACAAAATAAAATAAACATAGAGCTCATCCAAGGTTCAACACAAACCCCTAAATGACATTGCTTTTGAATGTTTGCACATTTGTTGTGATTTGTTTATCAGTGAGTTTCAGATTATTTAAAACCTGAACATTTTTAAGATAAACACATCCACCGGCTCTGATTTCCGGGGTTTTCACACGTCACACGAGTCTCAGATGAACGTCATCTACCTTAAAGACCGAGCAGCGGACATCCGGTGAGCTGCAGTCGGCGGCGAGCTCCATCAACAGCTTCTTTATAAAGTCTAAGATGACGCCAGGAGGGAGGAGCTCCCAGCACTTAGCCAGGATCTTACAGACGCCCAGGATGGCGTTGGAGCGTACGGTGGGGTGAGGGTCATCAAGGAGGCTCTGGAGAGGACGCAGACTGTTACTCTGATACCATATCCCTCCACGAGTCTCTTAGAGAATCCCTACCATTGCTGTGTCCAGCTGTTTCTGGATGTTTGTGTCTATTTCCGTGTTGGTTTGGTCCGGGTCGTGGATCGGGAAGGCCTCGGTGAAAAGCAAGGTGGCGTTTGCGCGTACCTCAAAGTTTGGAACCTGAACAAATCAAGCAGACGTCAGAAAACAAACGCACCTTAAATCAGTACAAACTGTGTTTATGTCGGCATACGCTCAGAGCTTTCCAGAGTATCGGCTTGTACAGATCAAACAGCATCTTGTCCACGCTGTGGCAGCCCTTCCTGGAGTGAAAGTAGCTCATAATCTACAAGAACGAACAGAAAGTTAGACGTGAATGAGGGTTAAGCGTTTAAAAAGCTTATTTAACATCCTACCTGTCGGACTTTGGAGTGAACAGGAGATGCTCGATGGAGAACGATGGCGTTCTGCATAAAGTCCTGAATGCAGGAGTTCTCGATCTTTTCCAGGAAGGCCCCGCTAGCTTTCTTCCAAGCTCTGAAGTAGATCTCTGAAATCTGAGAGATCATGCCTCTGGAAAAAAGGGGAAAATCAGACGAAATCGAAGTAGATTGTAAACCCAATAGAAGCTGAGACTAACTTAGGCTTCATACTTGTTGTAAAACTGGAGCTGGTTCTTGATGGTTCCATGAATAACCCAGATGAAATCCACATTCCAGCTGAAAAGAAACACAAGGAATCGCTTTCCCTGTGAAGATAAACACATCATCAGGACAGATCATGGACAGAGGCAGGCGACCGTAATCCGCTCGACTCACGTCGTCGTTTCTGATGTACGTAGGATGCTGGACGCACTGGAGCAGCAGGTCGGTGAGCTGCTTGTTGTCCAACTCGTAATCCAGAGTCAGGAGCACTTTGTGGAGACTCCACACTCGCTGGATCTCAGCCCCCTGAAAACAAAAACGAGCTGCAAATGAAATCAGGTCTCAGGAGGAATGGGAAATGTGAAAGCAGGATGAACGAACCGGTTTCTGTAAGGTGAAGCTCTTCTGCAGAGAGATGAGAAAGGTCACACGGCCAAACTTCTCTCTCTCCTGCAGCCCTTTCTTCCACCACGCCTCAAACAGAGTTTGTATGTGGAGCTGCAAATGAGCTTGCGACTCGGGGAGTGACACCAAAACATCTGATAGGAGAGACAAAACAAAAACCCCAGAAAGATGGAGCTAATGTTGATTCAACTGGATTTAGGATTATCTAAGCGCGATCGGGGGGGGATGTTTCTTAAAACTCCCAATTAATTTGGTAAATCTGAATATGTTAGACTGGATTAAGTTTTTAAAAACACTCACCATGAAGCCTGTGGGCAATCTGCAAAAGTGCGTCGTAGGTGTCACCGTCTTGTAAAACCTTCAGGGACGTCGTAGCCACTAACGTCACACCGTCCACAACAGCTACGACTTGTTTCTGTAGGAAAGGTTTTGGGGAAAATATCTAAAACTAAGATCTCCCCAAAAGGTTTTTCACACTCTATAGCCATAGCTTCCTAGATCAAACCCTGCTATCAGGAATCTCCTGCTACGACTGAACAGACTCACGGGATCCGGAGCCGACTCCTGCTGCATGTGCTCCTCCCAGCGCTGTGGAGGTAACTCCAGCAAGACGTCCTGCAGGAGGGTCTCCAGCCTCCTCCACAGAGCCAGCCTCTGCTCTCTGGACATCTCCTGCACCACCTCCTCCACATCAAAGGGCTCCGTTTTGTCCTTCTGCTCAGAAAGACGCACAGATTTATTATCTCAGCCACAGATTTCCTGGAAGCACATACCCAGAAAGCCTCCATGTTTACAAAAAGCGTCCCTGCCTTGGCCTGATGTTGTATTAAAGATCGTTGGAGGTATTTCATCAAAATATTTGAATATTTTGAGACTTAAAGACACAATATTTTAAAACTAATAACTAAATGAACTGCAGATAAATGGACGTTCAAGCTCCTTCGTTTATTAAGACCCTGTTTACCAAATGATGTACTTTGGTCCCTGGATGGAGGCTTATCTCCTCTTTATCCCATTGAACGAGCTCAGAATTTGGTTTGTGAGGACATCATCATTTTTGCCCAAATAAAAACTTTCCTTTATTGGCGTAAACTCAGATGAACCGGATTCATCCCCCTAACAAAGCCCCAACGGACCCAGGCTACTGCAGATGTCTCATTTTGTATCAAATAGAAATCAATTGTGTGTATTATGGGATGTTGTGCAACAAAAATGCAAATAAGGTAGGACTTTAAATCCAATTAGACGACAATAATTTGTAGTTTTACTGTGAAAAATCAATAAAAACACACTTAACACTAGAAATGTCTATTTAATTTCGCTATTTTAAATTATACAATTTTTAAAATAAAAAAACAGTTTTTTTTTCAACTAAAGCAACTTTTATGCGTTTGTTTCTTGCGTCTATGTCCAGAATTTAACTTATTATTTTAATAATTCTTATAACACGAGTCATGAAATCGCCGAGCAAACAAAACACCATCTTTGTTAATGAACAGTAGCTACTTACATGAAGCTGAATAAAACGAAGGAAGTCCTCCACGTTTTCCTTGCAGACGCCGTCTAAAAACGCTTCTCGCTTGGACATGATTCCTGGTTCCAAAGTGACCCAAAACGTAGAAGAAAGTCCAGAAACATTAGTTTCTGCTTCCAGCAGATTCTATTACTATACCAAAACCAAAACAAACATGGCTGCCCGTGAAACGTTAGCAAAAAATGCTTTTTACTCATTTAAAACACCACACTTATCAAAAATCGTCGAAAAAAGTAATACAATGATGAAAAACGAGGAATAAAACCCATTCACGCGATCGATTACCTTTTAATTAATGTTTTCAGGATTCACGACAGGGATATGGCATTCTACTGCCGCAGCTGCATACCCGCGCAAATTTGGATGGAAAGTTTACGTGCTGACGTTAAAACGTTCCTGACGCTGCCATCGCTACTGTCCCTACACCACTAACCACTTGATGGCGACAAAACACCACAAATAAAACCTCTGTCTGTATGACATCTGTGATGGTCTTCACCACAGACATCATAGACGCCCCGTGGACTGGAGAAGGCTGTGGGTTTGAGTCCTAAGTGGCCCCAAAACTATGTCAGCAAATAGAAAGGTAAGCGCAAAAATTTGAGTTAGTTGGTGTTTGTGTTGATGCTGATTTATGGAGCTAACCCTCCCTCTACAGCTCTGACAGAACCCTGCCCTCCTCTCCCAATGATTGGACAGGAATTCGAGAAACGTGATTGGTAGCTAAGACTCATGCTCTCATTGGTTCCACCCAAGTTCCTCCCACTGACGCTAGAATCGAGACAAAAAGATCTGCTGTAGATTTGAGGTTTGTACCTGTATAATGAAATGTGTGTTTTGAGAGTTTTGATTTCAAACTTGTACCTTGATTTTTTTCAATTTGGAAGTCTGCTAGTTACAAAACGAAAGTTTCATGTTTCTGAATGAATGTTTGATGTTACAAAATGAGTAGTAAATGTACAAAATAAAAGTTTGATTTTACAAAATAAAAAAGACATGTACAAAATGAAAATTTCCTGTTACAAAACAAGAAATACAAGTACAAATTGAGGATTACAAGTTAGAAAACTAAAATTACAAGTTACAAATCCAAAGTTACATGTGATGAAGTTCGAAGTTACAAAACTTGGTACAAGTTACGCTAAATATTGTCCCAATCCTAGCTCCATACGGATTGTAGATGCAGCCACCTCCATTCCACACATGGAGACATGACTTGACGTGGATGCAGAGGATGGACGGGCGGGTGGATGCCTCCCTTCCTGATTAATATCCGACTGAAGTAGCAATGCATTCAAATTATTGTTTTTAATTTAGCTGTTTTTTATTTGTAATTGTATGTTGCCCGCAGGCATCTATTGTCCTATTTGTATAGCACCTTCTTAGGGTTGTAAAAATAAATAAACACTATTGAAAACAGATCACTTGAGATTACTATTGACCTTTCTAACCTACCAGTTGGTGTTTTATATTTGTATTTATATTATTAAATTATATTCATATTTCTAATTAACAGGTCATACCACATGTCTGGCTTGTGAAAATGCATCATAAATGTGTTTTAGTTGGGTATGCACCTTCCTCAGTAGATACAAATCCACTAGGGGTGAATGGGGACCCATCCAAGATGGCGGCCAGCTGCTACGCTAGCTCCAATAGACAGCACCAGTCCACGGGGCGTCTATGTATAATGTCTATGGTCCTCACAAATACCATTTATACATGGTTTATACGTTTTTTGACTGGAAGAAATTTTTAATATCTGTCCAAGAAATATTCAAAAAGATAGAATTTTCCAAACAAAACTATTTATTCATCAAAATTCCCGATGCATTAGGTGATTTAAAATCATAACATTTGACAAAAAAAAAATAAGAAAAACTCACATCGTGGGTTTTTAAGGCACAGGGTAGGTGAAGAAAAAAATATATCAAAAGTTCCAACAACCTATTACATTGCATGGCAAAACATATACAAGCACAAATACATAGAACAGATGCATCATTATTCTGTCAGCCTGATAATAAAATGCAGCCTTTATCTTTGTTTAAACTTCACTTTGTTTGCATGACTCACATTTGGTTTGACAATCAAACCCTTATTCAAGTATCCATTGTCACATCTGTAGGGTACACACTTTTTGTTGCCCTATTCAGTGTCTGAGAAGATTCTCAGAACCACAAAAATTGTACAAATCTCCTAAAACTAAGAGAGAACATGTCAGATTTTGCATATGTGCATTCCTTGTTTTTAAACTGGCATAGGAGGTAAAAATAATCAAATCACACTCAGCAGAACAGAAAAAAATATATAGACATACAAAAAAACCTGCTACTTAAAACTACTTTGCAACTGTTTCTGCTTATTTGGTTGGTTTTCACAAACACCAAAACCAGAATTGTAAATTTTTTTTGTAAATAGAAACATAAAAATAAATAGTTAAAATAATTTGGACAAGTGTCTATAAAACCTCCCTTAGGGAAATAATGCCATGAAAACCCCTGCAACTTGTTGAAACTATATATACAATTTATAAATTAACATATTGATATTTACATGAAACACTGCGATGGACTGGCTCTCCGTCCGGGGTGTACCCCGCCTGATTGCCCATTGACCGCTGGAGATAGGCACCCCCCCCAACGACACTACGTGGACAAAGCGGGTCCAGACAATGGATGGATGGATGGATGGATTTACATGAAACACTGAAGAAAAGACAAGGCAGGTAGTAGGTTTCAACACTTTATAAAACAATGTCTCCAATTCATAAATATGAACTCAAAACAAAAAAAGTTCTCACATGCTGAATTTAAACTTGCAAATTAAACAACATAAATGAAGAAAGCAGTTGTCCAAGGTTGTTATTTTGGATCAGAAAAGGTGTTTTCACAATGTTACGAGAGACTCGTGACTTCTTCTAAAGCTTTGAGATGACAAACCATCTTCACTTAAGTCATACCTGCAATAAAAGACGCGAAGAAAACGTTAAAGAGCAAAAAACAATAAAACCAAACTGTATAAATTATTCTTTGTTAGAAATACGTATTAACGAAGAACACAAAAAGGATATTTACCATTGTGTTAAACCTTTCGATATATCATCGCTGCTTAAATCTACCAGCACCTAAAAATTTGGCAAAGAAAGAAATCTTATTTTTAAAATCTTGACAAGCTAAAAACAAAAAGGTTGTTAAAATTGGGGTCTGTAGCATTGTCATCAATGAAAGGAGGGGGAAACTTTGATATATGAACAGCTATAGCTCTCACCCCTGGTCCCTCTCCTCTTCTGGAAGGACTTGAAAGTCATGCCTTATACTAAGCAAAAATAGCCTAGTAGCGCTAATGTACAAGTAATGTTTTTGATATGTTCCTGCTCAGACAAACTTAATTCTAAAGCCAGATTTATACTCTTCTGTTATCTCGGGAGCAGAGTCATGCACATGCATTGATGGAGATGTTTTCGTTTCAGACTTCTCCATTGCCTGGGGAGTGTTGCAACTTGCAAAGCAATTCCTTGACAGGACAACAGAGGGCGTAGTGCTTTTCTGGTGGAGTTCATCCATCATTGCAGTCACTCTCTGGTCAATGAGTATTTACTATTGTATATTTGCATTTACTGTATATACTGAGCTTAAGTCACGCCCATCTACTTCTGGCTCATGGGTCCCTGAAAATAAGAAAAAATAAATATGTCGTGTCTACAACTAGGGGGCAGTAGAGGACAAGAGAAGTAGGTAAAGAGAGAAGAAGTGCATGATACAGAGGGTGTTTCTCCATGTCAAGGCGTCTGGCCAGGCCAGACACCTTGCTTAAGAGGACACTGTCCTTCCCTGGTAAAAGAAAACAGTTAAAAGGAACAGACTTACATCAGATGACAGCGGTTTCCGTGGCGGTCACGTCACGTGACACGTGAGATAACGTTATATTTTATACGTTTAAGTTTCAAAATAAATGTATAACGAGCTTTCTACTTTTTAAATTGTGTATATATTGGTTAAATTAAATATGTAAGCGAGTTACTACCTGCTAGCCACCAAAGCTGCAACTACTAAGCAACAAACCAATCATAGCTAACTGCTTTGGATAAAAAAATATATTTTAGATATCAGCCCAATAGCTACAATTAGTTGACTTACATTTAAACTTGAAATTTGCCCCTGAAATAGCTGTCGTCTCCTGATTTACCATCCTTTTGAAAATACAGTACTGTATTCTGGGAATTTTTTACTAAGGCTAGGCCGTGTATCCTTGCTCAGCTAGCTAAACGGCTAACAAACAGAGAACAGATGCCTCGGTAGAACATTGGAACATGCCTTGATGGTTCCTGATGACTTATCTGCTAGGCAACCGGGGCGGAACAAGACATCAAGGCAAAGTTCCTTGACATTGAGAAACACCCAGAGTTAAGATGGATGCCTGATACTGCTACACGTGATGCAGATCCAAATAAAGCTTGAAAAAGAAATTCTTGCCTACTCGTCATACTTTCTAATACAACTGTGGACCATAACAGAATGCAAATCAACGGGGCTATAAAAGCTATTTTCTCATCCCCTTTGCTATGAGCCATGGATTTTACATATTATGTCTGTGATTTTAAAGACACATTTTGATGACAAAAGAGCGCTTATTTTTGAATGGCGGTAAGTTATTTTAGGTTTAGTGTGAAAAGACGTGTAGGACCACAAATGCGTCTCACCATATTGACGTCATCGAACCAGACACGGAAAAGAAAATGGCGGTTAGTTTTGCGAGCTTTCAATCTTTCTTCCAGATTTCGAAGATTTACAAGGAGCATTAAATGTGGATAAAACCACTATAAATCTGGCCAAGTGGTAAGTAGCAGCTCCGCTGGGGGAGAAGAGATTCTGTGGTGACGTCATATATGCAATGTCTGATTTGTAGTGATTTTATTTACAAATTTTTACAAGCTAACAAATCTCAAAGTACATGACAGACACAGTCGAAACTCACATCATTTCTAAAACTTTTATAAAATCTGCATCTGTTACCTTTCCTAAAAGACCTTTGTGTTTGGACAGGATGCTCCCTCCATTCTTCACAGCAACATCCAGAGTTCTTCTGTGGAGCTCCACCATTGAGACGCTAAACTCAACCCTGCAAACACAAATGCTCCATCATGTTTATGTTTATGTATTTAGCAGACGCTTTTGTCCAAAGCAACTTACAAGTGATAATCGGCATATTGCCCTTGAGGCTAACAACAACAATAACAACAACATTGACATCAGTCATGGAGAGTAGGGAACAAAGGAGTGGACAGTAGAGAGGGGGAGCGGGTGCAGGCAAGGTGCTAGTTAAGAAGATGCTCTCTGAAGAGCAGGGTCTTCAGGAGTTTCTTGAAAATTGGAAAGGAAGCCCCATAGTGCTAGGTTGGTCATTCCACATTCGTGGAACGATGCATGAGAAGAGTCTGGATTGTCCTGAGCGTGCTGTAGGCACTGCTAGCCGACGATCCTGTGATGACTGGAGCGGCCGGGCTGAGATGTAAGCCTTTGCAAGAGGATTCAGGTAGATGGGAGCCGTACCATCTCGGACTTTGTATGCTAGTGTTAGCAATTTGAATTTGATGCGTGCTGCTAGCGATAGCCAGTGGAGCTCAATGAACAGAGGGGTGACGTATGCTCTTTTTGGCTGATTGAAGACCAGACGCGCTGCTGCGTTCTGGACCATTTGAAGAGGTCTCACAGTACAGCCTGGAAGACCAGTTAGAAGGGCATTGCCGTAATCGAGGCGGGAGATGACAGTAGATTGCACCAGGAGCTGGGTGGCATGTTGTGTTAGGTATGGTCTGATCTTTCGTATGTTATACAGCGCAAAGCGGCATGAACGAGCAACAGATGCAACATGATCTTTAAAGGTCAGGTGTTCATCAATCACAACACCCAGATTTCGAACTGCCTTTGAAGGAGCCAGAGATAGGAAGTCATTTTGGATTGAGATATTGTGCTGTATGGATGGTTTTGCTGGGATGACAAGTAACTCAGTTTTAGAGAGGTTGAGTTGGAGATGGTGGGATTTCATCCATTTTGATATGTCAGAGAGACAAGTTTGATATTCGTGCAGAGACAGTTTGGTCGTCCGGTGGAAATGACAGATAGACCTGGGTGTCGTCTGCATAGCAGTGGTAGGAGAAGCCATGTGATCGAATGATCTCACCCAGTGAGGTGGTGTTTATGGCAAAGAGAAGAGGTCCTAGTACTGAGCCCTGGGGGACTCCTGTGCCAAGATGGTGCATGGTAGAGGATTGTCCAAGCTAAGATACACTGAATGATCGTCCTGTGAGGTACGATTCAAACCAGGCATGTGCTTCCTCTGTGATGCCCATGCTAGAGAGTGTGGACAACAGGAAGCCATGGTTGACAGTGTCAAATGCAGCCGATAAGTCGAGCAGGATACGCACTGAGGATTTGCCTGTCGCTCTAGCTTCTTTTAAGGATTCAGTCACTGCTAACAGAGCAGTTTCAGTGGAGTGGCCCTTTTTGAACCCAGATTGGTAAGGGTCAAGCAGACAGTTTTGTGAGCGGTATTCTGTGATCTGCTTGAAAGCCACCCTTTCAATGATTTTGGACAGAAAATGGAGGAGCGAGATAGGTCGGTAGTTCTCCACATGATTTGGAGGAAGAGATGTTTTTTTTTTAGCAGTGGTTTAACCTGAGCATCATGACACATTTAATAATTTCCCATGCTTCTAATGAAAACAAACACTTCACTTGAAATTATGACTGAAATGATGTGGAAGCTGTTAGATGATGTCAGGTTCATTTCATCCATCTGTGAAAATATTTCACCTTTCTGCAACTTTTTATCTCAACTGGAAACAAACAGAAGTGCCTGCTGAACTCTAGCCAGCCCTACGGTTAGAAAACGAACCGTTTTATTGCTGTGTTCTTGTTCCTTGTCAGTGCAGCTCCTAGTTTTATAGTCGGAATTTAATTAAAGTACAACAAAATCACAGAGATTGAAAAGTGGCGTAAAGGAGCTTTAAAGATCAGAGCCATCCAGCAGGTCGTAGATTTTATGATAATAAAAATGCGGATCATTTGAGGTTGAAACACCACATAAAGTCCCATCAAAACAGAAGAAATGTCAATTTAAAGGGATACTAAGCAGTTTAGGCTTGTTTTTAGCACCCCCTAGTGTCTGTTAGTAAAAACAAAAGTAAAACCTTTCTCACCGCTGTGCGTTCATCTTTTTAACATCTTAATCTAACAGCTGAAACGTCTCCTCAGCCCTCCTTAGTGTCTACAGGAGCGATTCATCACTGAATCAAACAAATCAGCTGTGTTCATGATCTAAACGTGCTGTAAGCAGACTGCAGCGCTGGCATGTCAGTTCCACTTTATTAAGTCCAACAGGGATCGGATCGACACTCTGAAGTTGCAAGTGCAATATTCTGCCCCACAGGGGGAGATGGGGTCTGAGTAACATTTCAATAACCCTGTAAAGATTCTTTTTAGCACATGTTGGCTCAAGAAAGTGATTTAAAAATATGAAAAAGTTGCATAGTATGTCTTTAATCACACAATTGTGACGTTCAAACCCACGTTTGATCATAAGTAGGGTTCAGAGTTCTCTTGATCGTGTTCGTCTTCCTCCTCCCCGTCCGGCTCTTGTCCGGTAACAAATAAAGGCGGATGAAGGGATCGGAGCCATCTTTGGTGAAGGCTATCAAGTTACTGGAAGCACACCAAAACATCAAATACATAAAACGCAATGTGAGATTAAAAATTTTTTCGTTTATTGTTGTTATTGTGAGCTCACCGGCAGGCGTGCACCACCACCACCAGTTTGTTCCTCTGGGAGCTGTGTCGGATAGTCAGTTTGATCTCACCCAGCGGGTACTGACCGGGGACGGAGCCACTATAAACACCAAAGCCAAGCACACTCAGAAAATCAGAAAATTAAAAACCAAGAGCAGAATCCAAAGATGCGCATGTCATTTACTTCTGCAGCAGCCGAAGTCGTTGCTGCAGCTCCAGGCCGGCCGTGGGCAGAGAGATGTCCGAGGCCAGGCTGTGGGAGGACTCTTTGTGAGGCAGGTGCTTCTGGGAGTTGGACATGCAGCTGCTCAAGTCGGACACGCTGCGGCGAGGGCTGGCCGAGTACGGCTCGCCGTCTGGGTCCTGGAGGGTGAGCGTGGAAGCATGGACGGGCTGCGGAGGAGTGGCAGAAGGAGGTGGGGATTCCGACGGAAAAAGGCTCAGAGATGGAGCAGCACCAGGCTGAGGGACACTGGACTTCCTGACCTGCACTGATGAGGGCAGGTCTGAAGACACCTGCTTCTCTAAGGACAGGATCTGCAGAGAAAACGTGACATTGGAATGCCTCAGCAGCAAAAATAATCATTTATTTGTAAAATCCAGATTAGTATTTAGCTCTACACTGATTATTTGAATATTACCAATGTTTTACTACCAATCTCATTAAGCTGGTTTAATTTCTCTCCTCAGTCGATAAAAACGTTGCTGAGTCTGAGTCGTTTTCCCTGATGGATGTGAGCACCTTGGTAGGGATCCAACTGAGAAAGGCTGTCTCGAAATTTCATATGGATGCATTCATCTTTTTTTATTCAATAAATGTGGATCCAGTACAAGATAATACACTTAGTCTCAGCCTCCTGGAGGGTAAAGCAATTTCCTATCTGCTGGTTTCAGTCGCTAAGCGACAAAATATCTCTTTTAGGAATAATCAACATACCAGGGCACCTTTTAGTTGGAGTTCAAATCGGGTGAAAAGGTGGAACGTAAGTGCGGATCCCGTCTCTATACAGCATACCGGCCGTTCTGCGATTCTCCAGAACTCACAGATGACCAATTTGCCTACGTGCACTGTGTTGTGTGTTTGAAAACTTGTGCTCGTAAATTTGATCTAAGCACAAAGTCTACAAAAACCCTCAAACACGAAAAAAAAAAATATTTTCTTTGGTGTGCATTTGAACATTTAGTGAATCAGTCTCAGCTACTATCACATCAAATTTGAGCTCAATGACACTAAAACCAGCTGAGCTGTAACCATTGTTGTTTTGGTTACAGCTGATTAGCTCTGATGGCTACAGCTCCATAAAAACCCACCTAAAGGCTCGTGAGTTATTCTGCAGGATTCTCATTCATAATATAAATCTCCCACCCTTAGTTTTGCTGCATCATTAATTCAAGTATCACTTAATGAAGCACTTTTCTGTATGAACTGAGTCCCATTTTTTTTACCCTCAGGGCCATCTTCAGTTTGATGATGGAGTTGGGTCCCGAGTTCTTCAAAGGAAAGCACTGAACCAGCGTCATGTCCTCCTCCGTCAGCAGGCTGCTCAGAGGCACCCTCAAGTTACCCAGCATGCACTTGTGCTTGTCATCTTTTAACTGGGAGCATAATGGAAGGGAACATTTTTTTAAAAGCAACTTTTAGACGTGTTCGCATCATTTCGGAGTGCAACCTTCATTACAAATAGCTACTAACTGTCACACGGACTCACCTCCACCTCCAGCTCCTGTCTCTTCGGATTGTGAACGAGGAATGGGAAACAGTCCTCCCACAGAGGTTCCCTGGTCTTGTACCGGACCTTAAAGAAGCAATATGTGAGAATGAAGTAAGAGTGACATCAAGTGGTCAAATCCGGGTATTGCAGCCCATTAAAAACAAAACAAGTGACTTTCTCATTAATGTTCTCTGTTTCATGGCTGTAGCCGTTTACAGATCAGAGGCAGAAGATTCTAGATGACGAGCACAGACGAGTCATGATGAGTAGATAAATATATTTTAGTGTAATAATGAGTTGTTGGTAACTGAAAAATTTGCTCGAGATATTTTTAGAGCAGACTATTTGTTTCTAATTCACGGTTAGCATTTTTAGCTCAACGTTAGCCTCAAGCTTTCTTTACTTGATTTTAGAAACAAAAAGATCCCGTGGCTTCTTAGGGGGTCGCTCCTGTTTACTGGCTTTGGATTCTGATGAAGTGCTGCTGCATTTTGCCAGCCAGGGTAGATTTACAAATGCCAGCATGGCAGCATTAGCTGGCACAGACTCAGCAAACCCGCACAGAAATAAAAACATTTTTATCTCGACATGTTATTTTGACAATTTGTTGGTATTTTTGTCTCTTAGCACCTCTCTTTGGAAATTAGCATTTGCCTGATTTGGGGATTGCAAGTTTCCCAAAACGAGTATCAAATAAATACTCCTACTCTTCTGCTTAAGGGAAATAATTTCTGTTTGTTGGCAGGTGCGATGATGGTGCACGTATGATGTCTTTATTGGGAGTTAGGGCTGGGCAATAAATCGAAAATCTTTTGTTATCCAAATTTCTGACTCTAACCGATATAATTTTTCCTGTGTCAATAAATTTGGTAATAAAAAGAAATAGAACAGATGTGTTTAGGTTGACAGCGTTCACAATCCTTTAAGAGGCTGTACCACCTGCAGTCACATGACAGTGTGACTCGTTATACTTGTGACAGCACCATCTAGTAGAAACTTTTTGTGCATTCATGTAGTTATCGTTCATTTTTCGTTATCAAGGTTAAATCCTAACTGTGATATTGACTTTAGGCCAGCCTTAGTGGGAGCAACCCGTTATTGTTCAAAATGCATGTCGTCATCTTAAATCGATCTCAGAACTGATGAGTAAAAGTACTCTACGTTTTGTCTGGTTTACTGTTAACCCTGGGTAACAGTTTATTACTTCTTATTTACGATTCCTGCAGAAGAAGGTCTAAAACATCAAACTACACCATGAACTGTCGCCTGTCCTTGACACGTTCTCTTTTGAATGTACACGTGTGTACGTGTATGCATATATGTATATATGTGTGTGTGTAAATGAACATGTGTGTGGGTTTACATGTTCTTATGTGTTTTTTATGTATTTTTATTATCATTTATTGTAGTTGTTGTATGTTTTACAGAGCGAACATCTACCGAAGCTAAATTCCTTGTAAATGTAATTTTACTTGGCCAATAAATCTGAAATCTGAATCTGAATTCCAGACATTTAACATAAGAAAAAGCTGATCATTGTATATTAGTATTTATTTATTTTTTCATTCATTCGTTCATTGCGGTTTTCACTTCATGTATTCTGTTTCGGGAAGTTCCACAATTTTTGAATATGTTCATGAAACGTTTGCTAAATTCTGTTTCACCACCATGATAAAAGTGAAAACAGCCTTTTCCCAACAGAATGGAGCTTATAAAGGGAATTATATTAAAAAAAATGAAAAAGGTTAGAGAAATTCAATAAAAGACTAGTGTTTTTATTGCTCACCTTACTCTCTAGTGTTTTCTGGCCCACTGTGAACTGGACATAAGGGCTGGGCTCACTGCTGCTCTTCTTGGCTGACTATTAGACAACCAGAGAATGGGAGTTTATAACCAACACTCAGACATACAACTCAACGATGGTCAGTGTAATCACATTACATGCTTGTGGAGAATCTAAACACAAATTCCAAAGAGTTCACTTCAACAGGAGGGAAGATGTTCACACAAGCAGGGCTGCAGGCTGGCAGAGAAGCCATCGGGAGACCTTCGCCTCCTCCAAGGGCTAAATTTAGCACATTGAGCTCAGATTAGGGCTGCTCAATTAATCGGATTTTAATCACGATTACGATCTGAGTTTTGAACGATTATAAAAAACAAAACAAGCAGATTTTTTGCTCCTCCCGCCTGCGCTGCCATGAGTTGCAAATGAAGCGCTCCTCCACAGTGTTGCCAACTTAGTGACTTTGATGCTATTTCTAGCAGCTTTTCAGACCCACTTCTTGACTTTTTAACTTAAAAGTACCTGGCGAACACCTCAGAAACATCTCTGGTAACCCTCAGCTACTTTCTGGATAACTGTCGTCGACATTTCCTGCAGGTTAGCTAAACACTCTGCCTGCGCTCCGGACCGTTCTTCAGGACATTAGGAAAGGGAATGATGTAGTGATGCGTCGGTCACTAAAGAAACGGCTCTCGGAGCCGGCTCCTTGCTGGATTAACCAGATTGAGTGACACACACACCGCACCTGCGGACTCCTGAGCCACTAAAAACGGCTAAATGTGTGCGTGCGGCGTGCTAAACACACGTGCAGCTTGCCCCGATTGCTGTGAGACCGGGTTGGGGGGTGGGGGGTGCAGCTGTGGTTGGGACAATTATTACATTAACTGATGGACGACTTGTAAATAAATAAGGTAGAAATAAGTTCCTCACGCTGATAACTAATAACTAATCTCTCTGAGGACACGGTGCTAGTGCACTCTCCTACAGCACATTGACACGACTCAATAAATGTTATGCAACATTTTGTGAACATCAATTTATTTGCATTTATTTGTTATAAATGCCACTGTATAATTCTTGCTGTCAGCATTAGCAAGATATTGGTATTTGGGTCTGTACTGGTTAGACTTAAATGAGTTAAACCAAGGTCTATAGCCCTTGGGTCATAGACTATGAGCTATAAGTATATTGGTCTTTTTATACTGGGAATCAGGAGTTCTTTTAGTGATCATCTTGTTTCTTATTTTTGTCCTGATTGTGCCCTGAGCAATTTTATGACTGAATAAAAACAAATAAAATCAACATAAATTGAAAAATCGTCCTAAATAATCGTGATCTCAATTTCAGTCACCATAATCGTGATTATTATTTTTGCCATAATCGAGCAGCCCTAGCTCAGATGATTGAGAATTATTTAGAACTTAATTCAGGATAATATTATTTCTAATATCTAAAAGCTAGAGGCTGTACTGGTGCCTATTCTGCAAGTTGCCTGTTTTTCTGGTTCTGCTTTTTATACACAGGGATTTAAACAGATCCTGGTTTGCAAACACATTTTCCTACATGCAATGACTTCAACTGAGAAGAATATGTTTCTGCTATCTCTGTCTATGTTACAGAATGTGCTTGAAGCCACTTTTGAGGAATAATAATAACAAAAATATTCGTGAGGATATTTTAAAAAGGGACCTGCCCCCTGGCACAAGTTGGTGGCCCCGTGTTATAGAGGCCAAATAATGATTTTTGGGTGACGTTGGGTTGAACAACCCAAAATAATGATGTTTGGGTGACATTAAGGTAAAATAAAATAAAGCAAAATCATGATATTGTTCGTTCATATGTAAAAACACTTTTTTAGAGGGCCTGCCATCTAATGAATAAGTAAATGCAAATGTATGGTGGCACATCATTAAAATGAAAAAGTTTTCTATATTTTTGCTAATAATTTTACCATCTTAAAACGAAATGCTTAGAAAAGTAATAGGACACTTCTTACGGCCGAGCCACTCGTTTTAATATATAACTTGTGGGGGTGCACGCTGCCATTCGAGCCCCATTAATGTCCGCGGAAGAATAATAATAAAGAGATCAAATCCTCCATTGAAGAAAAATAAGAGCACTGCTGGCAGAGCAGCGGGTCCTTTAGCAAGGCATCTTCCTGCTGATGCATTTATTTTCCTCTTTTATTATTCTTTAGCATACTTTTAACATTTCAGAATAGGTCAACTATACCTGAATGTTTGGAGGCCAAGGTGGATGCTTCTTTGTGGAAAAACTGCCCCATGCACCACTACAGACCTGTTGATCTTTAAAAATCTAACTTTCTGTCAGACGTTTAATCCTTAACCCTCCCACTGTCCTAATGGGTGACCACGCGAGGAAAGTTGACCAATGAGCAGGATTGATGGTTTATCCCTTGGTCCATGTGGCAGGGGTGAGGAGTGAGTACCACCTCACCCCTGCCACGTGGACCTCAAGGGATAAACCATCAATCCTGCTCATTGGTCAACTTTCCTCGCGTGGTCACCCATTAGGACAGTGGGAGGGTTAATCCTTTTCTTGGGTTGTACACAAAAACTCAAAATAGCTGCTGAATAGTTTCGTTAAACAGAATCAGCTGCTTATTTTCCTTTCCTTCCTCTGTTCCACTTTTACAAATGCTGGTTGTTGGCTACGCCTGCCGACATCATTTCCCACTGAGCTACAACCACCAGCGACTTTCTCGGGCCTTTTTAGATAACGTACCCCAATTTGGATACTCTGTTGGTCCCTGAAATGGTGCGGAAAGTGGTCCTTTTAGGCTGGTCCCCTGAAATAGAGGCACACGTATAACACCTTTACATCACCTCTATGACCTCTAATCTGCTCAGATTTGTTTTATTTTAGATCTTCAAACATCCTGCTGGGAGTTTAATAAAACATTTTCATAGTAACAACAAGTTTATTTGCTTTCATGAGGGCTTTAATGGAAAAGGCTCCTCTGCCAACCTGCTGTCAAGCACCAGGTTTCTAAAACTGATCAAGATTAAACTACTGGGAATAAAACAAAACCCAAAGAACCCCAGCTTTCCTGTAGCACCAAATAAAACCAACCCACAGTGATTGCACCGTCATTCACTCACTCACACACACACACGCACGCACGCACGCGCGCACTCACACACACACACACACACACACACACACACACACACACACACACACACACACAAGTGAGGAAGTGCCTGTGTGTGACACAATGGAAGGTTTAAAACCTCCAAGAAATGCTCAAAACCACCTGATCTCTCTCTTGAAATTCACAACAGCTTATTTCTGAGTAGAGGAACTTTACGTTGTGTTGCAACACTTAATTTCGCTCGCTGCTGAAAAATCCCAAATATGACAATTTTGTTTACTGTGTCAGCTCAGACCAGAAGCAGACCAGTTTCCTTCTCTTCCTGATGCTTTTCAAAGCTGATTTTGTATTTATGTGGGTCAAAGTGCTACAGATGACTAGCAAACACACGGCCACATATGCTCAGCTTAAAGCTGGATTGTTCTGCAGATAAAATGGAAAAGTTGGACGTTCAGACAAAAGAAGCGTTTGAGTTGAAAGTCCTTTGCATGCAAGACTGTGAAAGGAATTCACCAATCAACACAATCAACGCATGCCGTCTTCATGCACACCTCCACAGACATCAACACAATCAGCTGCGGCGACAGGGTGTGATCTTCACATGCAGACCCTTCCTCCCACATTTACCTTCAAGGCCTTAAAGACTGAGACTTGCTTCAACCCGTCATGGGGGAGGTCTGACAGGTTGCTCTTTAGGCCACAAGGAGATTTTGGGGGAGAAAAATCACACCCGCAGTTAGTTGGGATGAGTAGGAATGGGTAAAAGGCACAAAACCTCTCCAAATATTCAGATATTTTGTGTTGGAGAATGATTAGAAATGCATGAATGAATGAAAAAAGTAGTGTTGAGGATGATGCTATTGACTCCACGGCACTACAAAGCAAAACAGAGCAATGAAGCCTACCTGGAGGGGCTAATTTAGGATAATTTTATGAGTTTCTGAACAAGCTGTGGGCTTTTCCAACCAGTGCTGCTCCACGTGAACGCTGACTGATCATTAGGAGCGATGCCAGTGCAAATATTCTACTTCAGCCTTGAAATAAGCACCACAATAAGACTATCACCACAAGAAGCCTCTGTCAGTGAGCCCCAGGGCAGCTGTGGCTACATCGTAGCTCATCACCATCAGTGTGTGAATGTGTGTGAATGGATGAATGATACACTGTAGTGTAAAGCGCTTTGGAGTCCTTACTCTGAGAGGCGCTATAAAAGTGCCGGTCATTTATCATTTAAAGATTGTGCGGCTGCATTCTGCAGTTTTTTAAGCAAAGTCTTCAAATTAATGGTCGGGAGATATTACGCTTAAAGCATGCAGTCAAAACATGCTCTAAGTACACCTGTTATAGTTCAACCCATGGCAACACACACTTCTAATGCAGAAGCACTCACAAAAATAGTTCTACACTCGGATGTATCGCTCTCACAAAAGATTAAGCCAGATGCTCTCCTCTCGCTTAAGTTGCCGCAGCCTAAGCTGCCTGTGAAGACGCCCTTGGGTGAAGAGGAAAAGGAATGAAGGGGAAACAGTGGTGTTACGAGGTCTGGGTGAACTTAACGGCAGTTTTCCCATCTACTTGTACAAGACTGAAGGCTGCTTGCAGGGGAGTTTTTGTTGCTGAAGAAGCTTTTCAAGGATTTAAGGTCATAATTCAACAAATCCAAAGGCATTTATTGTAAGACAGCCTGCATGGATACTGAGTTTTATTCTGGAGAAACTAATCAGGATTCAGTTTCCTCTGAAAAAAGTTCATTCAAAAACCAGGTTTTTACACTGTAAAATCAAATAGTTGTCATGACTTCTATTAGATGATATTACAAAGGTTGTTTTGTTTCTTTATTAATCAATCAAAAAAGTAATTCAAACAAGAATAAATAAATAACTAAAAACTCAATTGAAACCAAATTTTGAAAAATTGCAATTAAAGCAAAAACGCAAAAAAAGACCCAAACTTACTTAATTTTATTATTTGTTTATTAAAGGCTGAACTAAAAATCTAATCAAATCGTATCTTTTATTGTTTGAGTCAAAACGTTTGTGCGAATAAAATTTTCAGAATATCTTTTTTTTTAGAAAATAAAAGCTTTGATTAAAGCAATTAAAAAAATCTGATTTCATTTTGATTTCCATTGTAGCAAACAATCATACATACACATCATTCAACCCTTAATAGACAAATCCGAGTTAGAAGTAATTTAAGGTTTATTTAGTTTAACCCTCTGGAGGCAGGCGTTGCAGATTTGCAATGTTAAAACCTACCTACCTGGTTACTCCACATACGTATTTCATGAGCATTTTTTAACTCAGAAGTACCTCTGAAGGACTTAGTTGTTCGTCCTTTTATCAAAACTTATGTTGAGCCTGAGAGGGTTCATCTTTGTTTATTTGTTTGAAGTAATTTTCCTTGAATGATTAATAAAGAAACAAGATTACCTCCTTATAATAAAAGCTAAGAAATACATTTTCTAAAAATGAAACTGAATACAGGGAAGTAACTTGTTCCTGTTTATTCTGAGTGACTTTCACTTGGTGTAAATTACTGCTACTAGTAAATTTAATTATAACTGAACCTGAAAAAGTGTATGTAATTGTTCACGTTTAGGTTACGAGCTAAAAATAAATAATCAGATCTGTACATCGAAGCGCCTCATGATTTTTATCTTGAGAGGTGGGATATAAAAGATCTTCTTTCTTTCTTTCTTTCTTTCTTTCTTTCTTTCTTTCTTACTTACTTACTTACCTATAATTATAACAGGTAAAAAACGTAAATAATAAATCTTTTCGGGGCACATTAATTCATTTAGGTTAAACTGACTTAAAATATTAGCTTACTGCTGCTGCTGTGGCCCCCAGACTCTGGAACTCTCTCCCCTTGAGCCTGAGGTCAGTGGACTCGGTGGTCTCCTTTAAAATGCAGCTGAAAACTCACCTGTTTAATGCTGGCTTTAGCGTGACCTTCATCACCACCCTCTCCTTATTCAGCTGTTTCTACTTATCCCGCCTTTCCTGAGATCCACCGATTTTCCTCTTTACCATTCATTTTCTCTCTCTTTTCTTAAAACGTGAAATGGAGAAGGAAGTGACGCCACCATCAGCGTCAGCCTGAGGAAGTTTGCAGGCGCAAACGAAACGTAGCGGGAAAACAGGTAAACAAAAACTGCTCTGTGTTTTAAAAAAGAACTACAGCATGGAATAAGAGATACGACACAGCAAGAACACACCCAAGATGTACATACAACTCAGAAAAACTGCAGCAAGCAGATTTCTAATTATTTTTTAGTAGTTTATATTTGTTATTGTAACTGGCATTTATATGCATTTTACTTTACACATTAGCTGCCACCATATATTATTACTAACTTATTTTAAGTGCAATTCATTTGCATACTATTTTTAAGTAAGGGTAGCTAATCTGATTTTACAGTGTATGTTTAATTCTGGGTTCAAATACTTGAAATTAGGGGCCTGGAAATTTCTCAAATTCAAACATGAGCAAATAATCAGAGGGTTTTAGGAAAATAAATAAGGAAAACAAGAAAGCTTGCATAGTTCCTTCTGTTAAAATAGAAGTCAATCTCAAGCAGAAACTAAAACAATCCTGACCTGATTCTTGGGTTCAGCTTGAGGCCAGAGTACGTATAAATAAATCAGAGAGCATAGACAGCAAATAGAGAAAACACAAAAAATAACCTGAAGCAGCGGAGCTGACACCTATAAACATGTATTACAATGAGATTTCTACTAAACTGGTGGAGAACGAGAAGTTGTGTAAAATCTTACAGGCAGGTTTTTAGCACAGTCCAGATAGACCACCAGCAGAGCTGACGACAGTCCGTCACCGAACGGGCTTCTGTCTGCGCGAACACTTCTCAGCACCTGATTGGGCGGAGATAAACGTGAATGAACGCTCCGTTAATGTCATCACCAAATAGAGTTACAATCAGCCGTACCTGGTCCAGCTTCTCAGGAGTGGAGAACAGAGACAGCCACTCCAGTTTGAGGTGAAGTTTCCCAGTAGGAGCTTCTTCTAGTACAAACCACTGCAACGTCAAAGCAGCACCTGGTCAATTCTGAGGATGTTACTGTTTTATTGTGTAATTCAGAAAATAATCAAAATTTTCAGCTTTTTTTTTATTTGTCAATCTGATAATAAATGCTAAACATGAGGAAACTGAAGATAACTTTTGCTCTCCTCCTCCAGATTTGGAGGGGACCCACCAAGAGTGCCCCCAAGGGGTGGCCAGAGGTGGCCATGGCCACCCCTAGAAAATTGCTGCCCCCCCACCCCCCAGGAAAAGCCAGTGTTAATAAATCATATTAATGTTCACTCAAACCATAAATGTATCTTATTTATTCAAGAAATAATTGTAAAACAAAATAAAAAATAAACTAATACAAATAATGAGTAAAGAAATAATCAGAAAAAAATACATATGTTTCTGCTGCTCACCATTAACATTTTTTTGTTCCCATTTAAAATTTGGAATACAATTTTAATAAATGAAATGTATTTTTCTGAAATGTTTGTGTTTGTAAAATTTAAGTTAAATGTTTTGGATACACATTGTGTTTTTTTATTTTAAATAAAAATGAATAAAGGAGCAATGCAGTACATCGCCACAGGCTAAACTCTCCCAGAGTTACCACAAGGACCAATTTTGTGTGTCACCCCAAATATTTTCTTTGGCCCCATCTGGCCACCCCTATAAAAAGTTTCTGGAGGCGTCATGGGACCCACACCAAATTAGAAGCATCATTGTTGCCAGGAAACGAGTGAAAGCAGCACTGAGCACAGTTCACTGTTAAGAATAAGGAAGCGTCTGTAAAAGTTCAGAAACAAGAGAGAAAAACTGTTTTGGTGCAACTGAAATGTGGGAGGGAGAACATCTACAAGCCTGCCAGCAGGGTTTTATATTAACTCAGAGAAAAGTCCTGACATGAAACATGCAGCAGAAAAATAAAGGATTCCAAGGGAGGAGAAGTAGAGGGTGACACGGTTTGTTTCATTTGTTTTTTTTCACCAGGAGAGAGAAAAAAATTATCTCTGTCAACTAAAACGTCCTAAAAAAAACTATGAACTGCTTTTATCTGTTTTGTCCTTTTTTCTCCTGCAAAGTCTTACAAATCTCTGTTGTACAATTCTTAAGGACATGGTGTCACTCACACCAGGATCAACGTAAATAAGCCCAAATATTCAAAACTATGAGCATCATAAATTAGGCTTGGAAATATTTGTACTTTTTAATACACCAAAAATCCCAATACAATTTGAATTTACTGCACAGAATACTTTTTAAGTACAGCGGTCCCTTGCTATAACCCGGATCACCTTTCCCTGCCTTTTTTTTTTTTTGCATGCTTTGTTTTTTGATCCGTGTCCAAATGCACAAAGCTTTGAACTTTGAGAATGTTTAAATAAGAGTGTGAAAATAATAATGCCTTTCTGAGACAAGTGTTAAAGTGTGTAATGAGGGTTTTGCAGCCTTAAAACGTTGTGGCGATGCGCTGGGACGAGCACGTCTTCAGAAAAGAGGAGTGCAATTGGCCAAGGCCTGGAGCCTTTTGTAAACAGCGCTCCTGCAGGAGGTGGACACGCGAGACTCGACAACGTGAGAACAAGAGACTGAAACGCTGTGGGTGTATGCAAATAAAACTGTTCACCCAAGCACACATGCTGGAAATAAGTCTGGTGTGTTTTCGTGTGTGCGAACCTAGCTGCGTACGCAACAAAGATCTCTAAAAATCGTAAATGGATCTGACTACTTAGTAGATTTTTCCTACTTCGGGTTATTTTTCGAACATAACTCCAGCAATAAACGAGGGACCACTGTATAATTAATATATTAAAACATCTGGGCAACAATGTGAGAAAAACAAATGAGTCAATTAGCGTAATGTGAGTTCTGCATTTCTCTAAACATTTTTACCCAGTCTTTCCACTGGGTGCGTAGGAGGCGCGGAACGTAATACATGCACTTTACCAGCGAGCTCCCTTCAAACCAGCAATGCTTCAGGTGCGAATCGGCAGCAAAAGTGTTCCACGCAGCTGGTCCTGCGAGGTCATGAAATCACTGGTGAATTGTAACACCACTCGTGATTTCGGTTCAAACGACAAGCAAAGAAAAAAAAACATCAACATGTATCCCAAAAAGTCTGTGGTTTATTTTCTGTTCTGTTTACCTTGACTACGGAAGTTTCACAGGCCATTATGTACCTATTTTTTTTTACCACTTAGGCAACTGGAATTCTGCAAGTGACGTTTATTTTGGAAGTTTCCAGATGTTTTACACAGCTTTTGTGTTTGACTTCCTGTCTGGCCTGATCTGAACTGCTGAGCTTCATGCGTTCTGGAAGTGTAGCGCGCAAAATACTAAACCAATGTGTCACAACACTTATGGCACACTCCAAAAACGTTCTGCTTCATGGTTGTTGGAACCGCAGCCATCCACTATAACGAAGGTTAATGGCTTCATGTTTCATTTCACGGACGTTACGCGACGCTCACGTGTCCGGTTTGCCCCGGTTGCAGCTATCAACAACACATGAGGTACTGATTATTCATTAACTTTTCACAAACAGCTTTTTTCTGAACGATCCCTTTGTTGATGTAAATGTATCTCAGCTTCTTACCTCATCAACCTTCTCCTCTTTATATAGCTCAGTCAAATCAATCATGAGGCTGCAAACAATGACATATAATTAGTGAAATTCACTAAACAAATAGCAAACAGAATGACTTGGCCTATTAAATGTAACAGGGGTCCAGGTATTGATTTTCTGCTGAGCGTTACAGCACAGAAATCTATTCCATTGGATAATTGCATTGCTTCATTATAACTGACTTCTGAAAGCAAAGGGAATTAACTGAAATATCATTTGCATGACATTTCCTTCTTATGTTACCCATCAGTGGCACTGATCCGGTGCAACAAGTTGTGCTTCCTCTGAAAAACGTGTTAAAAGACAGACAACTAACACAAGCTACCTTCCAAGGAAGTCATCTTTGTCTGGATCTTCATCAAACAGCTCAATTTCCAGATGTTGGCCAGAGGGCTCATAGACCAGAGCCTGAGGAAGACAAGAGATTAGAAGACAAGTGTGAAAAACCCAAACTGGTCACTGGGAAACTCATAAACCACATATGGTCTCTAGTTTCTTTCTGTGAACAAAGGGTTGAAAATGCGTTGTTGCAAATGTTCATTCATTTTGGTTTCAGAGAATTCCCAAAAGCATCACCTCATACACCTCATTCCATTTGGGATGAAGACTCTCTTTAATGGTCTTGCTCTGGAACAGCTGGGTGCCGACCTGCAGGATACCATAAGGGTCCGACTTGCCCTTGATCAGCCCTCCCAGAAACTGGTCCTTCCCTTCCAGATCCTGGGCCTCCAGGAAGTGAATCCTTAGGACTCCCTGAGGAGACATGCAGGGCAGAACGCTGTATTAGATATCTTTTATTTTTAAGTGGGACCACATGAATTACTTATGTGTGGTTAGCGCCTCAGACGCACATGGCTGACAGCAGTTATACATCATATGATTTTACCTAATTACAGGTAGGTAGTCAAGTTTCCTGATTAGCACTTTTATTTAACACAATGACGATTTTCTGTTTAATTCCCAGGTGGAAATGTGTAAAGATTAAAAATAATCCATAAAACCGCTCGTGAACTTTTAACCTGCTAAAACAAAAATATCAGACAGAGAAAAATGTCTCACTTTTAAGGCTATAGGGGGTTTCTAAAGGTGTGCATAGAGCTCATGCAAGAGAATGGAAATAAAGAAAGACTGAACTACTTAGAAAGAATTAAAAAAAAAATTAAACATTACATTTCTTCTTCAAGGCGCTCGAGAGTACAGACGCTTCTCTTTTTGCTCCCTTATCTTTTTTTCCCAAGGCTCTTTGTCCTGTCTGCCCACAGAGCGCTTCTCTGCATTTCTTCTGAAAAACTCTATTTTTACTAACCATGGATTTGATAAACTGGTCATATCAATGTGATTGATAAGGTTTTTTCAACAATGAGAACGGAGCAGGGGGCTCCCACATGTCCATAGGGGACACACCTGGTGGGATATATTTTGGATTCCCGTAAGGAGTGGAAGATCATATGCCTCGGCCAGTTGTCCATTGAGGATATCGAGGATGTGTGGATATTCAGTCTGATGATCACTGGATTTCTCCTGAATGGAGTGGGAGGATATCTGGTTTTCTGGGAATTTGGGAAGACGGGAGCGATTGGAGGGCGACCTGCACCCACGGAAAGCACCGTCTGTGTGGAGACTTCTCAGACTGGGATGTTACTCGAGGTGAATCGTAAGCTGAACAATGTTCTAGCTGCGATACCGGTATTAGTGAGCAAAATGGATGTCATTTCTGAGAGAGTCACCGGACGGTATGGACAGGTTTAAAAACACAAAATTGGCTTCACTGAAGGACTGGAATGATCAGTTTAAAGACTGAAGGCAGAGAGGAAAATTATCTCAGCCTGACCCAAACAAATTCTTGTTATCCGAATATGATGCCCTGGTTGCCTTGAGCGGCAAGCAACAAACCCCCACAAAGGAATGCAGACAGATGCTGTGAAAACCCGACCCGAGGTCATCAATCTGCAGGAGTCAATGTGCTCTTCGCTTCTCCCAAGATCTCCCTCCCACCTGTGACTGTACAGTAGATGAGCGCCGTAGATGGCTGCTCTCGCTGGGGGAAACAGGATACCAGCGCCCCCCCCCCCCCCCCCCCCCCGCCTTCCTATTGGAGTTTCATGTTATGTTGTGTTGTCTGAAGTCTGTTGCATATTTGTTGAGGTGTTTTGTTGCAGAGCAAAGCTGCCCTCCAGGTGGAGGGTAACTCTGAAGTGCCTTTTGTTCCCTCCACCTGAACCAATCCTCATGTTACCCTCTTATCACTATTAAGGTAGCGCGACTCAGGATTGCGAATGACCACAGTCACCAATTCTTGTCATGTGTCTTGCCCATGTATGTCTGATCTCTGAATTGTGTGTACTGAAACTCTAATTTCCCTCTGGGATTAATAAAGTATTGATTGATTGATTGATTGATTGATTGATTGACATCATAATTGCCCTTTGATGCATAATGGTCACTACAGTGGACAGGTACTCGAAATTGTTATTTATTTATTTTTTGCTATTAAGCACAGCTGTTGAAGACTTTATTGCATTTGAGCCCCTCCATTTGGATTTCAGTGAGTCAAGCCGACATATTTCATGTTCAGAATGCACGCTGTCCACTGAGGTGGACATGTAATAAATTATTTGTAAATTATTAAATGTTACAAAAGATATTTGTTGAAATTTGTTTCATTCACACCTAAAGATGAATGAAAAAATGTATTAAAAATCATGGTTTATGATTTCATAATTCATGCATCAAAGGGTTAACCATTTGATTTCTTGTCTCTGTGGCATTTTATATTTCAGTTATTAGATTTAAGCTTCAAAATGAACTATAAAATGATTTAATTTGTTTTTCTAGAACCAGATCTCTTTTGTTGTCCGCAACTTCAAATGGTGTTTTTCTTATTGGGACTCTGGTAGTTTGTCCTAAAGTTAAAGTGGTTGCAGCCGGCTGTTTCTCCTTCTCTGATATTATTGAGCGGAGAACCTCTCACATCTGTGGTGTTCTGCGTAATGTGTGGAAGACCCAGGGAAGTGAGGAGGTGTGGTCCAATGGTTGCTTTCAGTCCGAAACGTGTTATTGGTGGAGGTTTTTAGACAAATGAGAGAGAACCTTTTTATCTGGGTTTTTTTTCTCCTTTTATCTCCACATTATATTTATAGCTAAACTATGTTAGAATGTTGTTAAAAGGCATGAAAACAAGTTTCAAGCTGTTTTCCAAATGTGTTCTAGCAGCTTTAAAGTCCAACCTGCACTGGGATTTTGTTTGTTCTGAGAATGAGAACATGGCTCTTGTTTAGGTTGTACTTGGACCGGATGACCTTTAAAAGCAACCCTGGCACTAGGGATGCATCGATACCTAAACTGGTAAGGGTACTGGTATCGGCACCGATACCGGTATCAGTATTGGTAAAAGTTAACCAATACCAATCCAGTTGCCTGAAAGTGGCTTCACTGTAACATTTCTGTTCACTTAATATTTTAGTTTTGTGATCATTTCTATTAATATATTTTATTTGTATCTACCTCACAGTCTTTTCCTGTTGAAAGCAGAGAAGAAAATAAAACCTGTTTTCCAATCCAAGTATCGGTATCGTATCGGTTTAGAAAAAAGAGGTATTGTTGCATCCCTACCTGATGCCCCATACTCCTACAACATTCCTCACAAAATGCCCCAGGGGGTACGACTGTCAGCCTTCTACTGGCCCACAAAAGAAATGAACTAGAGAAGCAAACTGCTATGCAACGGAAAGACCTGGTCCCCTCTTTCAGGACTCCGACAGAAACCACACTGCTTCTGAGGTTGTACAACTGGTCAGTATTGTGCAAAACAACATTAAACCTAGGGCTGAACAATGAATCAATAATGATATATATATCGATCAATAGACATGTGGTGCAACAGAAAAAAATGGATCGATATAAACTTCAATAAAAAGTTTCATTTTACCATAATAGCTTTTTCAGTAGCTGACCTTACCAATCAAAAACACAGACCCAAGTATGCTTCGTCACAACGTCCTCCCCTCTCAAACCTAAACAGACAACTATGTGCTGGTCAAAGAAGCTAGCTCGGTTCTGGGCCACCAACTACATTCAGTTGAGGAGATGTGTCTGAGACATCCCAGATGTAAAACAGAACGTTACCCTAGGTCATTCATCCCCTCTGCAGTAGGATTCTCCTCAGTTTAACTGGTACTGGCATTATCCTGGTACACAAAAACACCAATGCAATACTCAGTATGTGCTCAATACTTGTGCAATACCGGATGTACATTAATATGTCTTTGTCCCTTTATTCTGCATAGTTCTGGAAACACAAGTTTGAATTTTATTGTTTTTGGTGGTTTTAGTTAACAATTATAGCTTATTGCCTTTGTGTGTTTACCTGTAATCATGTTATTATTTTCTTCTTCCTTTTTCTCTAAGTGTGTGTGCTGCTGTAGCAAGTGAATTTCCACACTGTGGGATTATTCATCTATTCTATTCTATTCTATTCTATGGGACTTGAACAGCAAGGAGAGGTGGAAGAAATTGCCGTGAAAAAAGGTTACAGTTCTCAACCAGTGTGGTAATATTTTCATTCTTTAAAGGCTGACAAAAAACAAACAACAGTGGTTTGCAAAATTTGCAGAAAATCAATAAAAATCAAGTCTGGTAACAACTAACTTATTTCATCATAAAGTAACAGCATAAAATGGCCAAGGCTGCACTTAAAATATGTTTTCTACATTTTTATATAGTTTTCAATAATTAATGATATCAATAAAGATGCTTTTTTTATTGATAAGCTTTTTTCTATATTGTCCAGCCCTAATTAAACCCTTCACAAAATGAATAACTAAGCTTTCTGTCTCGTTGCCATGGAAACAAGTTATTGTTGCATAGCCTTGACTTAGTTTCTGGGGTAGTTCTATTCAGTGATTACACTGCTGAGAAGAGAACACTAAAAGTATTTTATTTTAGGATTAAATGTCTGATTTGTTGAACTTTAAAGCCGCCTTTTACCTTCGGCATCGGAAAGCGTAGCTTGGCCAGTTTCTCCTCTCCGACCAACGGGATTGTAACTCGGTTGGGTAAAACCAAATAATTGTAGATGATGTCCAGGATCAGATTATTGGAGAAGCCGCTGTAAGAGAAGGATGGTGGGTTTAGTGAAGCAAGGGAAAGGAAAGGAAACAGAATGAAGCAATAAATTACTCAACAGACTGTAAAAGTGTCCTTGAGGTGTAAATATGGTCCTTTAATCCCCTCTTTGAGCGGTATATTTTCATTTCACATGTGACATGTAGGAAAACTGGAGTTGGATCAAGCAGGGATGTATTATTGTCCAGTTGATCCACTGATCTCTCTACAAAAACACACTGACAGCGTAGGGAAAAGAACGACATTCCTTTATTATCAGCAAAACTGGGAAATTATTATCCCAGTCAGAGAAAAAGTCATTAGGATGGATATTCACCTAGCCAAAGATAGATGGGTTTTTATCACCAAACACGCATCCATATAACACGATGCGCCCAATCTAATCAAAGTCATTGCTTGATTTATGTAGCGTGCATGATTCAAAAGTGAAATGTGTTAAAAGTGGCAGTGGGAAACTTTTATAAGGTAGCACTTTGATGCATTCTGTCCAAAACCTTTTGAAAGGCTGTGTCCTTGGTGTCTGGTTGGATTAAACTAAGAACATTTTCAGATAAACCTGAACCATAAAATTCCACTTACAGCACGAATGTGCACACCCAAAACCAGAATTATTGTCGTACGAAGTAAAAGGGAAGTTAGCTCACATTTTCTAATGTATAATTTTTGTTTTATGATCTCAAGGTATAAAAAAATAAATAAATCTCAAGCAGCTCCAGTTGAATGGAAATAAATCAGAATTAGATGTTTTATCACCTGTTGTGTAAAAACTGCACAGTAGGCACTAAAAAATGTATGTGCTATAAACACACTCATGCACTTAGCAACAGCATCAATATGAATGCTTAAAGTGAATCTGGTCACTTTAAATCACTAATGAAAGCATAAAAAAGTTACGTTTACAGTAAAGTCCCCGTCCTGTTCTGCTCTGGGCTGCTCAGCTACAACAATATAAAAGCAAACAGATATTTCTTGCTTGTTTATTCAAACATTTCAACAATCAGTGACTTGATGCAATTTGCTGGGTTCCTTATATAAGAAACTTTTTTCTGATTGGCTTAATGAACTGACCTGTATTGGAATGTTTATTATGAGAAGTACCTTGAGACGACTCTTGTCGTGATTTGGCGCTATATAAATAAACTTGAATTGAATTTCAGCATACATAAAAATGTAACATCAAAACTCCTCCAAAAATAAGGATGCTGTGCAATAAATTTTTTTTAAATAAAATTGACTAAAAAGCCTATATTTGAGTTACACGTTGGCAGATTACAGATTAATTTTTTTTAAATTAAAGTGACAGCGTGTATTTTCCAGGGTGATAGGAGGCAGTGCATGCAAGCAAGCACTATTTTTGTGTTTGAGTAAGACCTTACCAGCGGACAAATGGTAAATGGTCTGTATTTGATATAGCACCTTCTAAAGTTCTGGAGCCCCCCAAGGTGCTTTACAACACAATCAGTCATTCACCCATTCACACACACATTCACACGCTGGTGGGGATGAGCTACGATGTAGCCACAGCTGCCCTGGGGCACACTGACAGCACTGGTGCCACCGGCCCCTCCGACCACCACCAGCAGGCAAGGGGGTTTAAGTGTCTTGCACAACGACACAACGTCAGCGACAGACTGAGCGGGGCTCGAACCTGCAACCTTCCGATTACGGGGCTAACCCTTAACTCCTGTGCCACCATCACCCATAAGAGTAAAAAAATCCTTGGGAGCACAGCAAAATGACAAGCATATCAGACTCCCTTTCTGGCAAATCAGTAAATGAATTTTGTCTTAAAGGGCTCCCGTAGAAGGAAATATGCATTGCCCAGAGACTTAGACCCACTCCCACACATTTTAGATCTAATTTTTGTGGTTACATGTTACAAAGCCACCAATATTTTTAAAAATTGAGCATCATTTAATTAATTTTCAACAACATTTCGATGAATATTTCCTTAGATTAATGGTGAAAACTACACATTATCTCTTTAACAATCATGTTGAAATTGGCTGATTACAATCACCGGCCGATTTTTAACGTGCAGCTCTAATTCTATTGCATCACACAGTTTTTCTTGACCATTTCACCAACAATTTAACAAAGTAATGATCCCCATTTGCATCAGATATCAGTATTTATTTCCTCTAGCGACATTAATATGTCTTCAGTTGGCCAAGAGCACAAAAAATCTTTATGTCACTTTTCCTTCTCATTTTACAGGAAAATTGTACATTACTTCCAATCTTTTCAAGCTTCCAATCACATTTCAACACCCTTTCATTTCAGTTCCAGGCAGCAAACGATTTCCATGACACTTGATTCAAACTCACAGGAGCAAACACCGGCAACTGGCCAACATTTGTTACACTGGAAGCAGCACAGTCAGCACCAAAACTACAGTAAATGTATAACTCACTTATTTTTGTTCATGCAGTTTTAGAAGCCAAAAGATAAAATGATATGAAATGAGAAAATACTTCACTGGAACTTCTTCCTGGTAAAACCGGTGAGTCTGTTGTACACTGATAAAAGCCTATAATAGGCTATTTAATAAACTAATAAATATATTTATTTGATTGGAGCAAAAGAAAATCCTACAGAATTCTAAAGATGTCCAAAGACGTAACAAATAAAAGATTAAAGTGCCTGGCTGTCTTTTAGATTTCCTTTTGGTGCCAGGATGAAACATTCCTTTGATCGATCTACAGGTTAGTTTCTAGTGAAACAGCAACAATTTGAGCAGAAATGCCCTCAAAGCCGAGAGATTAAAGGATTCTCCTGCTCATTCGTGTGCACGCTGAAGCAATTTTTTGCTGCTTTCCTGACATAAACACTAAAATTCCCACATGTCCCACTATATGTGTGTGTGTTTATCAATGTTAGTATAACTGCTGACTGTATGGATACACACTCGCCCAATAACTTAACATGTCACTGAGTCAGCCATTCTTTTTGGTTTCTCTACAATTATCAGATTGCCCGAAAATCAATACAGATGAATCTTATTGACATTAGTGGACCCCAAATGAGTCTTCCAGCACAATTAGGAGGAAAATGTTTTAACTTTTGCAATAAAAAAAAAACCCATGGAGACAGAATGAATTGGCAGCTGGATTAGGATATTCACAACCCCGCAGGAGTGTTTTAGTGTCTTCTTCAGTGGTGGAGCAGCGAGATCTAAACACGAGGAATTGTAGTCGTTAACTGGAATTTATTCTATCTCAAATCTCAAGCCAGGTTTTCTACATTTTCTACATAATTACAAAAAACTTTCCTGAAATGGAAAAAAACTGAAAGCTTTCCAGCTATTTAAAAGTTGCTTTCATTTTCACAAGATATTCCAGTTCTTACTGGTGTTCTACAACAAAACAAATGAGATCATGTCCTTTAAGGGACTATTCCTACTAGCTGTACCAGTTTGTTCCTTTCTGATAAGGTCCACACTAACTGCAAGGTGAAATAACTCTAGACTTTAAAAAAATACATGAATGCACAAATGACTGCATGATCAACATTTTCACTAAAATACACTGAAACCCCAAATAAACAACATTAGAAAATAAATATGGCGAAGAGGATGTCTGTTGTAACAAAGCTGCGTGTCTCTGTGTGTTCTGTGATCACTCTGTCCTTCTCATCAGAATTTCAGTCACTACAATCTAAACACACACAACAGCAAAATAACACATTCAAATGAGCTACCACGAAGGTAGCTGTAACTCTTTCTATGTTAAAGTACCAAAAGATAGTTTTTAAATTTCAAGCTAGAGCTTTAAAATTTATCTAATTTATCTTTGAGTTAGAAACCTGACCAGTTTCATATTTGACACACCCCTCTGTAGCCCTTGTGTAGAGGGTAGGTGCCCTACAGGGGGTGCGCTTTACCTGCTTTACGGCTGTTAGCTGTAATGCTAGCGGTTAGCATTTTCAGTTTGCCGATTGTCAATAAAGAGCACAAGAAACCAAAAAAAAAAAAAGATAAGAAGTTTGCTTTTTCTGTTGGCATCATGTTTGAGTCTGGAAGTAAACATAAGAGAGTAATGTCTTTGGAGGTGAAGCAAAGAGCTAAAACCGGAGTGAACATCGGCACGGTCTACACTAGTTTGAGGAAGCTAAAGGAGGCTACAAAATCACGGACTGATGATGACCTGGCTTTGTTGCTACTGGACTAGTAAGTAATAATATTTTTTGTGCAACAGTGTGGATTTTTTACTTGATGGTTGATCTTACGTTAGTTTGCTCGTGTGAGTGTTAGCTCATTGTCACGGCAAGCTGCAGCGGTGTTATTTAAGAGTTGTAATTCTGCTTTCAACAAGTAGGGCAGAGGAGCAGGAAACTGCTCTGATTTACTGTTTACTGCTCTGTTTAATAAGAAATATTATTCGTTCCGTTTCCACCATCGGAACATCCGGGTAACGTTACCGGATCTTCATGAGACACGCTTGTTTTCAAAATGACCCTATTCAAGGCATTAGAGTATGTACTTGGAAAGGGCCCAGTAAAGTAATTGGCCGGGACCATCGGCATTAATATAGGCCTGGACTTGTGGTTACCTCATGCTGATTGGTTGTAACTCAGTGGGAAATGACATCTGTAGATGTCGCCAAATAATTGGCTTTTGTAAAAGTAGAAAAGTTGCTGGAAAAGCAGAATGAAAGGAAAAGAAAATTAGCAGCATTGAAGCTGATTTCGAAATCACTGTTTTTCAACTCCCAGCACCTAGTTTTATGATCTCATATAGAGCGCAGTAATGAAGGGAGTTTCTGGTCAGTGACTGCAGCCTGTCACACTGTTAAGTCCCCTAAATGACAACAACATACTTTAACACATCACTCATTGCTGAAATGGTGACGATATGCTGATGTCTCAGCAAAGTCCTGAAAGAGACAATTTTGAACAGCTGAGAGGACCGAGCAGCACATTTTTCCTGTCTCCCCCCACCCCCCCAGGAATTTACCGGATCTCCCGGCTATTGTCACTGCAGCTACTGTCATCATCTGGGCTTCTGCTACTGCAGAGACTCTATCTCTTCTGCTGCATCTGCCTCCCACTGCCTCAACCAACCAAAGCAGAAAAGAGTTCATTTCAGCCCCGCCGAGCAACGAGAATAAGGGTTGGATGAGAGCTTGTGTCAACAAGACTGTCCCCATGACTGTTATGTGAAACGAGCAGCTGCAGTCAAAGAAAATTACATGCAATATTCATCATTGTGTCACTTTCTTTTGGGTTTAAATAATAAATGAATCTACTTAAGTAAGCAAAGATGACAGATTTCTTTTACAGTCTGCCTTTTAACCACTACAGACAGGAGGAAGATATCATTTAAATAATTAAAAATGCACATGCGTTTCAAATGCATGTTGAAAATCTGACCAAGTTCCAAGAACTAAAATCCTTGAAACTCCACACACACTGGAGTTTTTGTAAAGCTAGCTTTGGGTGACTTACTTGAGCCCAGGGATGTCTAGAATATTGGTGAGGCCGGTCCAGTTTATGTCAAGAAGCTAAAGGAGAAAAGAAGGAGAACACAACCATGAGTTAGACTGAAATGACAGAGCGCTGAATCACTTTAAATGGATCTAAACACTTAACGGTATTGTTTCCTACCTCCAAACTACAGTTTACCATCTGGCCTCGTGTTTCTTGGCTAACAAAGCAGGTTGATTAACGACAGCAGGGAGAGTTTTTTTCAAGTGGCAGCAAACTAATAAATCAAAGGTTTATAGATTAGTTCGTACTGTCTTTGTTCCAACAAACCTTTCATAACAAGGTCTTTTGTCTCAGGCTTTCCTGCTTATAGAACTCACAAAGACTTTTCTGACTCTTACAGAGTTTTCATCTTTGATGTTCCAGACTCAACCTTATGTTCCCAAGACAAATTCTCCCCACTGACAAAGAAAAACTGATTTTCAGTCAAATCATCACATCTAAGTAGAACCTTTTATGTACTAAAGTAAAGTAAACTGCAAAGATAAACATTTCTAGTGTTTAGGAAGAGAACAGAAGTCCAAAAAAAAAACTTCACTTCATGTTTGGAGAGCATTTAGAGCTCAAATACAACAGCGAACAATGAGGTTTTGAGTTTGTATAAAAAGAGTAAATTTTATGGAAGAGTATGTTTTCAAAAACATTTGAAACCTCTTACAGAAAAATAAGTGATCTGTAGAAGCTGTCAAACCATAAAACCTGTAAGAATTTTACAGAGAAATTGGATTTGAACCCCGATCTCCCAGTCCCAGGGTGGACACTGCACCACTAGGTGACTGAGAAGGTAATGTGCTGCAAGAAAAAAAAGCCCCTGAAGTGTAAGGCGTAACAAAAATAACAAAACTGGCATCAGCGCAAAATCCCGCAATTTCTAATGTTTCTAAACAAACGCTGCATTGTAAAGTGGCGAGTGTGTGATTTTCAACAAAATCACAGATCCCTGAACAGAAAAGAATACAAGAACACCTGCCTACTGAAATATTTATGACAGTCTCCGAGGCTGTCTGCATTCTCATTAGTTTTCAGGATAATGAGGTGAGGGACTTTGCACCTTTCCAATGTGCAAAGTCCTAAAATTTAGCAGAAGATCAAATCTGAAAAGAAGAGACGGCTGAAGAGGAATCAAAGATGGGAGCGAGCTGAGACTAAAGATGTCTCTGTGTCTCCGCGGGCTTTGATCTGCCTCGGAGCTCATAGAGCCTAATGAGCCTTTCTCACCCTTCTTCTCAGCCCAACCTGCTTCTTATACTGCTGCAAACACGGTGAGGAGCTGCAGGGGAGAGGACAGGACTGCAGGACTGTGACTGATGGCAGCTGTGGTCTAAACAAAATACAGCTTGACACCTTGGCACAAAATATATAAACATTTAGATACGTGACCTGATTAATTAGATGTAAAACACTTTTTAAAACTGACAGCAGTATTTCTGCAGTCTGTACAGCATTGGGGGGGGGGGGGGGGGGGGGGGGGGTGGTCCCAGGTTGTTTACCAGCATTGAGCTTCCCAAAAAACAGCAGCAAATTTAGGAAACACCTCGACATCTACTTTCTTGCTGACAGTGAAATCAATGCCTCTCTGTGTGCACCCAATCCGGGAACCTTCCTCTCTGTTTTTAAAGCAAGTCCCCGGAGACAATGGTCGATATTTCTGGGTGTCCGGTGAAGCAAACGAATATCCAGATGAGGGCTGATCGAGCCAACACTTTCTGCATCCTGTCCAGTCTGATGAAAAAGACCGCCAGAGTCTACAAGCTACAGGTTTTACTAGCCATCTCATATTCATCACTTAGTAGTACTATTACTCCTCCTTGTTAGTGCTATTAAATACGGCACAGGAGTTTGATTATATTAATGATTAAATTTATTTAGAACATGACTTAACTTTTTTGCATTGTTTATGATGTGGCTTTTAGTCAGCGATAAATAAAATCAGGTCACTTAGATGTTTGCAGGACATTTCTGAAGTAATCTACCTCCAGAGGGCTGATGGAGTAGCTTGTAGGCCATCCTTAATGTAAATATCTAGTCTGGCCACGACCCATAGACAGAGCTTGTTTGAGGGCTGGAATCATCCACACATATATACTATAGACAAATAACGTCCATTGTCTCGAGTCATATGGGTCTGATGAAAAATGGGAGGTTCCCACCACTGCCATTTTGTCTGTGTCACACGTCTTGTCACGCCCAGACAGTCCAAAGATGGGAAAACAGGTGGAGCTGATACGGTTGGAACAGGGTTGGAACAAATGCAGCTACTAGCTAACACAGCTAACACAAGAAACTAAGAAGGGGCTCCGGCGCTGCCTGGCTTCCATGCGTGGCTGAAGTCATGCTGGTCGTCGATGGAGCAATAATATGGACGGTTTAAATACAAGCAGACCCTCAGACCACAACGATCGAAGCTGGGCACCCTGGCCGCTAACGTGAGGTCATGCTCTGCCTCAGTCGGAGATTAATGGGAGATAAGCTACATGCTAACTCAATTCAGGCGCTTTTAGCGAGAGTAACGCGGTAAAGCGATTCTGGTTTAGATGGCTAAACTGACCTGCAGTGTAAAATCGTTTTCCTACTGTAACGATGTGTCTAGATTTCTAGGCTACAAATGGTAAGATTAACAAATTTAGGATTAAACCAATCGTTTAAAATGGGCTTTCATTTTTGTACTATATGCTTCCTAAACAACCTTTTGCACCAACATCATTGGATCACGTGTGTGTGCCATGGAGGACAGTATTCAAAGGAATATTGAACAGAGGGAAAAATTGCTTCTACTACACATTCAGTTTAATCGTCAAAAGAAAAGCACACCTAGTCAAGGCTCATAGAGAGCGATGTTTACAACGATTAGAGTTAGCTAGCTTAGAAGCCAAACCTACCTTCAACCTGCTGCTGCATTATGTAATAAACAGTGATCACTTTACAATGGAGCTGATTTAAAAAGCCTACAAAGGTCTGGAACCTTTTTTCTTGTTGCTGGTTGGATCACTGGAACCAGCCGCTACTCTCGCATCAAAGATATCTCATATTGATGAAGCATATCGTGCTAAATAACACATGTAATCCTGCACTGAAACAGTACTATTATCTAGCAATTCACTATATTGGACTGCAACACATCTATTAATATAAATGCAATGTGTTATATATATATATATATATATATATATATATATATATATATATATATAGTCACGTTGTGAGCCGAGAAGAGGTTAGGACCCAAAGATGCAGAGATGCCAGATGACACAGGGTTGGTAGAGATAACATAAAATCCTTTATCGCCATCCTGGAAGCTAACACAGCTAACAGAATCCTGGAAGATTCGCAAGATGGCGCCGCAGATGGCAGCCTCGGTACATTGCTCTCTTTTGTTTGTGTTGTTTTTGTATATTTTTTTGGAAATCAGCGATGCAAAACGGATTACTTTCAGTAGAGATGAACTACTGGGTATCAGGCAACAAACCACAGAAACGGATTTTCAAAAATTTGAGGACCCGGGGAGTTTATTGGAAGCTTTGATCGGAGGAACTGCTGTTTGTTGGGAGAAGGAAGCGCAGGAGGGGTAAACGAGCAGGATCGCTGGTGAGACTCCGCCAACGGGGATTTCGTATGCCTCTCCCAGCAATACACCTAGCGAACGTCCGATCCCTACCTAATAAAATGGACGAGCTGCTCCTTCTGAACAGGACCAACCGAGATTTTGCACACTCCGCTGCCCTCTGCTTTACGGAAACGTGGCTCAGTGACTTGATTCCTGATAATGGCTTATACCTGCCCGGGTTTTGTTTACATCGCGCAGACCGGGAAAAAGAGCCATCAGGGAAGACGAAAGGAGGTGGAATCTGCTTCTACATTAATGAATGTTGGTGTACAGACGCTGCAGTTCTCAGTAAACATTGTAGCTCAAACTTGGAGACAATATTTTTGAACTGTAAGCCGTTTTACTCCCCGCGGGAAATATCATCATTCATTTTGATTGGAGTTTACATACATCCTCAAGCAGATGTGAGTGTTGCATTGCAGACTCTCGCCGATCAAGTTACCTCCACAGAGAACAAGTACCCAGACTCAGTGCTCATTATTTTGGGTGATTTCAATCAGGCTAAACTTAATACCGAACTACCGAAATACAGACAGCACATCAGATGTCCGACTAGAGGCAAAAACATACTGGATCATTGCTACACAGTTCTTAAAGGGGCATACCACTCTGTCCCTCGTGCAGCTCTCGGCCTCTCTGACCATAATTTGATTCATCTTATCCCCACTTATAAACAAAAATTAAAATCTGTAAAGCCAGCCATCAGGACAGTGAGGAAATGGACAAATGAAGCAAAAGAGGAGTTACAGGACTGTTTTGATTGTACGGACTGGAGAGTATTTGCAGATGCCACAGGTGATCTGAACGAGCTAACAGACACTGTGACATCCTACATCACCTTCTGTGAGGAAGTGTGTGTGCCAACAAAGACTTTTCGCACCTTTAATAACAACAAGCCATGGTTTACAGCAACTCTGAGCCAGTTGAGACAGGCAAAGGAGCAGGCTTATAGGGCAGGAGACAGGCCCCTGTACAAATCACTCAGGAACACGTTGAACAAGGAGATCAGAGCTGCTAAAATTAAGTATGCAGCAAAGCTGAAAAACCAGTTTACAGCCAACAACCCCACATTACTGTGGAGAAACATTCAGCAAATTACCAACTACAGGAGACCATCCTCCATTTCTGATGCTAATCATGGCCTTGCTGAGGAGCTAAATGGCTTTTATTGTCGCTTTGAGGAAAGGAATGTCACACCCCTCCTCCACTCCAGCATAGCGGCAGCCGCCACCCCTCACCTGGACACTCTTACTCCTCTTTCCTCTAAATCACGAGCTGCGTTCCTTGTGAAGGAAGAGGATGTCTGCAACATCTTTAGGAGACAGAAAGTACGGAAGGCACCAGGCCCAGATGGAGTAACTCCTTCCTGCCTAAGGACCTGTGCTGTCCAACTAGCACCTGTCTTCACAACGA